AAACTAAAAAATGAGTTCTCTGATCACAGTTCTCTTAATCAATCTTATGAGATCAATAACATTTCACCAAACAGCCCATTTAAAAAACTTTTCCAAACTAACTTATCAACAAACTTCGGTACACCAATGGAATCAACTATTGTTTGGGAAGAAGTCTTACCACTATTTCATTGCTACAACGCCATGGAAACATCTATTGAAAGATTCTGGATCCAAGAAGAAGTGATTACAGAAAATGCATCATCAGAAGACGATGAGTTAGCCGAACGAATTTTCAAGGATACTACTGTTCTATTACCAAGTGGAAGATTCCAAGTAGATCTTCCCCTTACATCACCGACAGCTCACTCACAGTTAGGGGATTCTTTTCAAATCGCAAAACATCGTTTTCTATCATTAGAGAAAAAATTGCATAACAATCCTGGGTTACTTGGTGAATATAAAAAATTCATTGATGAATATTTGCAACTAGGGCATGCGCAGATCATTCCCTTAGAACTTAAAACAATCAACAATGATCAAAAATATTTTGTACCACATCTGGGTGTGATCAGAGAACAAAGTGTTTCAACAAAACTAAGGGTGGTGTTCGACTTTTCTTGCCGAACAACCTCCAAACTTTCCTTAAATGAAATTCTTCTAACAGGACCAAGAGTTCAACCTGAGCTATTTGACATTTTATGCCGTTTTAGATCATTTAAGTACGTTTTAACTGCTGACATCACTAAAATGTATAGGCAGGTGGTCATGAATCCTCAACTTAACTTTCTACAAAACATTCTATGGAGAAATTCTCCTAACGATCCTTTGCAATGCATAGAATTAACTACAGTCAGTTTCGGACAAAAAAGTGCTCCTTATGTTGCTTGTAGGGTACTTAATGAAATAGCTTATCGAAATCCTCATTTAAAATTAGCATCTGCAGCAATACTGAATCAAACTTATGTAGACGACATTCTGGCGGGTGTAAATGAACCTGCGCAGATTGAACAATTACAAACTGAACTTAATCAAAGTTTAAATCCTCATGGTTTTCAACTACATAAGTTTGCTTCCAATTTAACAACAGAATCATCTCAACAAAAATCAAACGTTAAAGATCTTAATCTAGAGGATATGCCTTGTAAAATTCTCGGATTAAAATGGGATCCTACAAGTGACTCCCTTCAAATATCTGCTCCTTCTTGTCTCCCAACCACTCAATTAACAAAAAGAATAATTCTTTCTATAATCTCTAGCTGTTTTGATCCATTGGGACTGGCTAATCCGCTGATAGCTAAGGGAAAACTAATCATGCAAAAATTGTGGTTATTAAAATTAGGCTGGGACGACATAATCACCGATCAAACAATTATTAAAGAATGGCTCACATTTTCCACACATTTAACAATGTTACAAAATCTATCCATATCAAGACTCATAACATTAAACAAACAAATATCACATTGTGAAGTCCATGCTTTCTGCGATGCAAGCTCAGTTGCATACGGGGGAAACATTTATATAAGATCAGTTTTCACGGATGGATCCATTCATTGTTCGTTATTAACTTCGAAATCACGAGTGGCTCCAATTAGCAAACCATTAACAATCCCCAAACTTGAACTTTCAGCTATGGTTTTAATATCGAAACTTTTGGATAGAGTGCTAGGAATTCTACAAAACAACTTTACTTTCAAATCAATCAATCTGTGGACAGACTCGCACATTGCGTTGTCATGGGTACGTGGTCACCCCTCGAGGTGGTCAGTGTTTGTCAGCAACAGGGTTGTACAAATCCAAGAACTAACTAAAGATCACAAGTGGAGACACATAAGATCAGGGCAAAACCCAGCCGATCTGCTATCTAGAGGACAGTTCCCTCAAAACAAACATGCATTCTGGTTTAATGGACCAAAATTCTTAAATGAACCCCAGGAAAATTTTGACGATTTGGATACGTTCAGAATGGTGGAATCTCCACCTGAAACAAAGAAAACTTCTTTGAACGTAATTCAGCAACTCGATGATCCATGGGTTACTACTTTTGACACTTTCAATAGCTACACTAAATTAATAAGAACTTTTGCATACTTTTTTAGATTCTTACATAATGTCAGATCACCAGTCAAAAGGGTAGGTCTATTGACCACTGAAGAACTAGAACATTCTGCACAATTTATAGTTTCTAAAATTCAAAATAAATTTTTCTCAAACGAACTAAAATGTCTCAAAAATAATGAACACATTTATAACAAGCAAATTTTAACTCTCAACCCATTGCTTGACGAAAAACAAATTATCAGAGTAGGGGGACGGTTGAAGCACTCCGACCTTTCCTATAATCAAAAGCATCCCATTCTATTGCCTAGTAAATGTAAATTTACTTCTTTATTACTTAAAGCAGAACATAACAGGTTGGGGCACAGCGGTCCGCAAAATGTTTTATCCAATGTAAGGTTGCAGTACTGGCCATTAAATGGCCTTAGAGAAATCAAACGTATCACATCAAAATGTCACATCTGCTACAAATTTAATGCTCAACGACCAAATCAAATCATGGCTGATTTACCAAAAGAGAGAATCACACCATCTCGGGCCTTCCAAAACGTAGGACTCGATTTTGGTGGTCCGTTTTCCATCAAATCAGCTTCAAAACTTAGAAAAGTCGTCATCACCAAATGTTATTTAGCTTTATTTGTCTGCATGGCGACTAAAGCCGTTCATCTAGAATTAGTCTCAGACTTAACTACCGAAGCCTTTTTAGCATCATTAAAACGTTTCATTTCCAGAAGGGGCTGTCCCACTATCATATATAGTGACAATGCCACCAATTTTCAAGGATCAAAAAATCAATTGCACGATTTATATCTTTTCTTAAAAAATCAAACTAATCTTGACTTTATCAAATCATACTTACTTGAAACAAAAATCACATGGAAATTCATTCCCCCTCATTCTCCCATTGGGGTGGAATTTGGGAATCCGCCATTAAAAGTGCGAAATATCATCTCATACGAATGGTCGGAGGGCTTACATTGACTTTTGAACAACTTGCAACTATCTTTTGCCAAATCGAAGCAATCATGAACAGTAGACCACTTTGTCCATCATCTAATGACCCGTCCGATTTTTCAGCTCTAACTCCAGGGCATTTTCTGATAGGTTGTCCCTTAACCGCGTTTCCAGAACGGGATATTTCTGAGGTTCCACTAAACAGATTAAAATTTTGGAACATCTGCACTCAAATTCAACAACACTTTTGGAAAAGGTGGTCAGTAGAATATCTGAACCGTTTACAAAATAGGCCCAAATGGATGGAACCTCAACTAGAAATGAAAGTAGACGACTTAGTCCTTTTAAGGGAAGATGATACGCCACCCTTGAAGTGGCCATTGGCGAGAATAATAGAACTAATACCAGGAAAGGATAATAAGTCCAGAGCAGTCAAAATCAAAACTCAAGATGGCACTTATATCCGTCCAATCGTTAAGTTAGTACCATTACCCAGTGTCGAATAACATGATGTGGGTATTCCGGTCTTATTATTCATCATTTGTACATATTTAATAAGTTTAATATTTCATTCTTCGCTCTTTTATCAAGTATCAAAAAAAAAAAATTTCTTTCTTTTTTTTATTTTTTTATTTATTCTATTCTTTTTATTACTACTTAGTTTGGTAATTATCACACAAGCGTAGAATCATTTGTTGTTTTTGTTTTAAACCTTCATGTTGCACTACTTTCAGTGTAACATCAGTAATCATTAGTTTTCTGACTGTCAGTATTTCTGAGTTGATAGTAGCTACACACCTATCAAATTATCAAATTGCACATAAGTGCTGGTCCTTCGAGTCCCAGAGAAAATCTTTCATTTTCTGTTTGTTTTTAAACACTCCGAATCTTATTTAGTTTGTTAACTTTAATCAAAACTTATTTCTATTTATTATTAATAATCATTCACTCTCTTGCGCCGCCCCCCAATATGGTTAAATTTCATAACATTTAACCAGAACATTATCATTATAAAATTCCAATGCCGGACCTGTATATTCGAAGAATGCCGGTTCAGCTTGACGTCACTTGGGTTGCGTTAGATATGATCCGGATACTCATTTCGGCTTTTGGGTTCGTTAACTATGACCCGGCAACTCGTTGTCGGCTCTTTGAGCGTGGGCGCACCGGCAGCTGAGAGTAGCGTTCCAATCTTAACACTGTACACATCTCCACTCGTAGTATTTTGTTGGTTTTTGTTTTTATTACGTACGAGTGGAATTAAACGTTCATAAACGGCTAACATGTGGTCGTATATCTTTTAAACATTTTTTCTTATATAACAAGTAATGGTTTCAACGTGTTTTTCATCAATGTTTTGTAAATAGCTGTATAAAGTGCTTCGTAAAAGACTTTTAAGTGCAAAAGTGAGGTTTAAGTGACAAGTTCTCATCTGTTTACGTGACCAAATGAACTTACTTCAAGAATCGAACTATCTAACCTGCATTTTTATGTAAAACTATTCCGAACTTACACATTTTCAGTTTCTCTCAATAAAATCTAGTGAAAATTCAATTTAAAGGGTTTTCATTTATTTAAACTCAAAGAAGAAATACCTTTCCAAGGAAATATTAGAAGAGCAAAGGGGTTATTACCTCAAGGAAGAACCTGATAATATCACACATGTTACCTTACCCGCAATTTCTTGGCATACCAGCAACCTAGAAGGAAATATAGAACATAACATCAAATTAATGTGAGACTAACCCTCATATTTTATTCAACGTGATTTGTTAATAGTTAAACTCTCTTTTTTTATTCTTCGAACGTGTTTTTATACATTATTACTACTTCCAATTTTTAAAGTCTGAATAATTATCCCCGCGAGTAAAAATTCAAGCACGTTTATGCTCATTGAGGAAGCATCACATTCTATCGAAGCTTCAAAATATTGTGTGTTAAAGGTATCTTATTGCTGTGTCCATCTGTGTTTATACGTTCATGTAAATAAACATCTTTAAACTTACAAACTTTCCTCTTCCTTTTATCATTCTTCCGCTTTTAGAGGTTGCAGTTCTTCCCCATCGATTGTAATCTCCACCCCAATCGCGTTTGTTACCACGATCCCTGTAATTTTTATCTCTTCTGTCATCTAAAAAAAATATAGGATGAAAAATTATGTTCTTTCGATTTAAAACATTCCTGGCCATTAAAGAGTGTTGTGAAACTATTTTATTTTAATATTTTTATGTTACCTACTATTTTTAATGGGAGATAACCAGCATATTAATTATAATACTAATACTAAAGGGTGACTGTTAAAACCATGGCGGCCATCCCACCGAACTTCTTCTTCTTCTAGTTCCATGACCGTTATCGATCGTTGGATATAATGTTGGCTACCATATTCGCTATCGTGACTTTATTGACAGCAGCTCTAAATAACGATGTAGTTGATTTTCCATACCATTGCCTTAGATTTTTCAGCCATGATGTTCTTCTTCTACCAGGACCACGATTACCTTGGATCTTTCCCTGAATGATCAGATGTAAAAGATCATATTTTTCAGGGTGTCTCATAATATGACCGAAGTATTCCAGCTTGCGTTTCTTTATTATATTGACCAGTTGTGTTGTTTGGTTCAGCCGTCTAAGGACCTCCTCATTTCTAACTTTGTCGACCCAGCTTATTTTCAGTAGTCGTCTGTATACCCACATCTCAAAGGCTGTCGAGCGTTTAAGCATAGCCTCAGTTAGGGTCCACGCTTCTACTCATACAGCAGGACAGGAAAGATGTAGCAAGATATCATACGAACTCTAAGGTCAATGCTAAGATCGTGACTGCAGTTTCTCATTTTTACAAAGGCAGCTCGGGCTTGTTCTATTCGGCTTTTAATTTCTGCGGTTGGATCCCAGCTCTCATTGATATTACTGCCGAGATACACGAGTTTCTCTACTCTGTCCAGTGTGGCATCTCCGACTTTTATACCGTCATCATGTATATAATTTTGTTTGCTAACTATCATATATTTAGTTTTCTTAACGTTGAGTTTTAATCCATGACCACAAGTCTGTTTTATTTTGTTCATTAGATTTTGAAGGTCTTCTCCGCAATTGGCAAGGACTAAGGTATCGTCGGCATATCTAATATTGTTGACGGTTACTCCATTTACAATAATACCTTCGGTTGTCTCCATTAAGGCTTCCTTAAATATTTCCTCCGAATATAAGTTAAAAAGTAAAGGCGACAATATACAGCCTTGTCTCACTCCTCTTTTTATATTTATTTCATCCGACAGTTCTTATTCAACCTTTATTCTTGCCACTTGATGCCAGTATAGATTTGTAATTATTCGTAGATCTTTATCGTCCAATCCAGCTGTTTCCAATATTTCTAGCATTTTGTTATGTCGGACTTTGTCAAAAGCTTTTTCAAAATCGATTGCACAAATATACACATTTTGATTTATATCTCTGCATCTCTGTACTAGCACCTGTATACTAAACAAGGCTTCTCTTGTACCCAAGCCACTCCTAAACCCAAATTGAGTATTGCTAATTCTGTTCTCTAACAGCGTGTAAATTCTGCTGTGTATTACTCGCAGAAAGATTTTCAAAACGTGACTCATCAGAGTTATTGTCCGATAATCACCGCATGTCTTTGGACGATGTTTCTTAGGTATTGTGACAAATGTCGACTTTAACCAATCAGTTGGTAATATCCCAGTGTCATAAATTCTGTTAAAGAGATTACACAGAGCTTTAATTCCATTTTCTCCCAAAAACTTTAGTATTTCAGCACTTACTTCATCGGGGCCAAGTGCTTTTCCATTTTTTGCCGTTTGTATTGAACGTCTTACCTCACTTTCTGTTATAGATGGACCTGATATAGCAATCGGTGTATAGTGTTCTACTCTCTCATCTTCAAATAATTCAGAAATATAGTTTTCCCATTCTTTTAACTTTTCATTGATGTCTAATATTCTGTGTCCATTTCTGTCTTCTAAACTTTGGGATACTTGTTTCCATTTGTTTCCAGCGACCTCTTTCAATTTCTTGTGCATATGAAATGTATCGTGTTTCTTTTCATATTGTTGAATTTCATTACATTCTTTACTATGAAATTGTGTTTTCGCGTGTCTTATCTTCTGCCTGATTATTGCGTGGATCCTCTTGTATTCGGTTTTATCTTTATTTTTGACTTCTCTTCTTTGATCCATAAGTCTCAGTATTTCTTCTGTCATCCACCCTTGTTTTTTTCTTGCTTTTAGCGCACTCAATTTTGTTTCTTGAACAGTCTTTAAGATGTCTTTAATTCTCGTCCAGTTTTCCTCGGTACTTTCTTCTTTGCTTGATGTTAACTTCATCTTTTGTTCTAATATACTAGTTATTTCTTGTTTTACAGTATCATTTAGTAAGAGTAAGAATATTAAGTTTATTTCAAATTGCGGCAAAGTAATTTATTAGTTAATTTCTGTAAAAACGAATCTCTTTACTGTGTTTGTTTAGTGGAATTATTGACGTTTAACATTATTTGTGAAAAAAAGTATTTTAGTGTTGCAGCATTGCTTAGAGCAAGACGAGCTGTAATATTACCAGATGCACGAGTATGCAAGCCAAAAAATAAAAGAATAAGATGATGATTGTTCGCTTTTGTCGTGTGCATGTACGATTTTTGTAAAAATGCTCACACGATTAAAATTAAAGTAATCAATTAAATAATCTACACCCAATGATATCACTTTTAGAATCAAGTACAAACCTTTTCTATTATCGTTATTTTTATCCCTATCTTTCCTGCCTTCTCCTCTCATTAAGAATTTATTAGCTGGGATCTCGGGTATTTCTTCAGGATCAATATTTGTTACTGTAACTAACGGATGAGGTTCGAATACCTCGCCTTCTTCTCCTTCTTCCTCCTCGTCCGATTTGGTGTTTTCTTTGCTGAAAGTTAGAACGTATATTTCTTAAAGTGATTCAAATTCAAACGATATATTAATAAGTAGAAGAAAGTCAGTTATGCTAGGCCTAACAACTGCATTGAAAGCTGTGTAAAATAAAAACCTCACTTACTTTATTCAAATATACTCTTTAAACTACTAAAAATTATCTAATTTAATCGTTACACAATATGTATGAACGTGGAATTGAACAGATCAAATTGTAACTTCTACAGCATTGTATAATTACTCAACTTGTAATCGAAAGCTATTACGCAAGAAGCAATGGGTAACACACAACTACAGTGGTAGTAAACTCAGATAGATTTTAGGATACTCCAAACTGAATTTTACTCTTTCAAGGGCAGTGGTAAAGTTTGTTTAGCAGAAAATGGTTGACTTCAATTAGTGCGGTCGTAAAATTTTGACAATTAACACTGACTAGACGGTACTCCTATAATAAAGCAAAGGATCCACAAAATGTACAATAATTACGGCGACAAAAACAAAAAAACGGATGTAAAATATATTTCTTTGCCTTATATACCCGAAGTTGATGTTTTCAAATGAGTTTTAAAAACAAATTAAATCTATTTTAATTGCTAACATTATAGAAAAACAAACATTACTAATAATTTGTGGTTCTGAAAAGAACCCTTTTTTTTTAATCGTAACATTTGTAGATTTGATGACAGTATCACTCCACACATAGTTCTGTGCCGCTATCGCTACTCTCATCTAAATTAATTATGATCGGTTGAATTATATTATTATCTACATGAACATATGAATTTTCTTTACATAGTACGTGTCGGACTGAATTTCTCCAACTACTTGGAAGAATATCATTGACACATTTTCTTATTTACTCTACAACAGTACTATTTAACGTTGGAGAAACATTTTGTGACCTCACGTTAGACTTCAATTCCTCCACAATATGTTCTATGGGATTAAACATACAATAATATGTATGTCCCCATTTCCTTTGTCAATGTATCACAAACATCTACTTTTTTTATAGAAAATGCCTTAAAAACTTCTAAAAAGCTCTTGTTTGGTTCATAATACATTTCATTCGTTTCCATGTAAATTTGTAATGGGAAATTCCATGTAATTTTGAATTTCCAATTTAGTGTTATTCGAGTTTGGAGCCTTACTTAGTTGGCGACTGTGATAGCTTGCATTGTCCATTACTATCACGTTATTCTGGGAATGTTTGGCAGAAGATTATTTTTGAACCATTCTTCAAAAGGTTTTGCTGTTGTATTTCATGGTAGTCGACGCAGGAGTCTTTAAAAATACTCTTTGCAGAAAGTCACAGGGAATTTGGAACCCAATAATTTTCTGATCCAGCATGTAAAATCGTTATTCTTTTCCCTTTATTTGACGGAGTGTTTGTCTTACATTTACCGGAGGAATCGGCAAATCCTTTAGGTAGGGTTGAATATGTGTCAAACCATGTCTCGTCGAGGTAAATTATGGGACGATTTTCAGAACGGAATTTTCTTATCGAAGTTATATACTCGTAACGCCATTATTGTAATCTGAGATTCCATAATTACTTGTCTTTTGTCAATTAAACGATATCGAAAGGCCATAATTTTCAAAATTTTCCATAAGCTGGTTTGGGTTTCATCAATATTAAGCCGTTGCTCTTAATGTAGGTATGCATTACTCTTCGTACATGGTATAGACTTTTCGACGTATTTCCCTATCGCCTTCGTCCATACATTTGGTGGAACTGGAAGCTTTACGTTTTTTTCTTGTTTCTATGGGATTTGATGTAATTCTTTTTACTGTGGTCAGAGGTATTTTCGACAAATCGCATATTTCACTGTAGCGGAAGTTGTGTCAAGTCCTCTTTTAAGTAAGGTACTGTATATAGTTTTTACAATTTGCTTTGCATCTACAGATAAATGTTTCTTCTTTACCGGAACACTACAAGAAGCCCAATAATTATTATTCCACTGACGCCACATAATGATAAAAAACGTAATGAATAAAATGAGTAATACTACTTAACACTTCCCGTGATACATAAAGACAAATAAATTTTATCAAGAACTCGTATTTAAATATCAATATAAGCCTTATCTGTATTAATGAAATTATAATAAGTTTGGATTGTACGCAATTAAATCAACATTAAGAAATGAAGATTGACAAATTTTACCAGGAAACATATTTAAATTTTACCTGAAGCGGGCCTTTTATACTATTATCGGTTAACCCAGGATGTTTATAGTCGGTAATAATTGAAGTGAACCATTTACTGCTAAACAAACTTTACATTAATGTATCACCCGAAAAAATAACCTGTGTTAGTACATAAGAAGATGTGTTAGTAGACTCATTAATGTTTACGCTCAAAATGTGTTTACTGTATACTAATTTTCTTTTTTGATAAACTTTTATTTTTAATTGGATTAAGCAAGTCAACTAAATAAAGAATTTTATTGATATCCAAAATTTGTCGTCCACAAATCAAATCAAACACATCCGCTAAATGAATTAATTTTACCTGCAAAGAAAAATGGGGATGAAAGGGTTAAAAGACAAAAATTTATAAAATGAGATATTGGGAAATGCTTTAAAAATTAAACAGAGGGCGAACAATAATTTTGATAGAAGATTGAAACATATATTGAAACAGAAAATAATATACTTAAAAAAAGACACAAAAGTGTTTCTCTTGTAACGAGATTTAATTAAGCATCCAGAAATCAGATCTAAGTAACCAAGTCAGTTTAAAAATTTTAAATCTATTTAATAATGTTAATCATTGCTTATTGCTCAATGCGATTGTTTGTTTATGACTTTGAAAATATCGGAGACGCTGACCTAGTGAAATTTGCAATGTAATTAAAAGCTTACTTAATATTGTAAACAAATTATATTAGTAAAGCATGAATGCATTAATAAACGCACGTGAGTTGAATATGTGGAAAATAACGGGAGTAGATCATTAAGAATTAAGAGTTAAGAGTCGAAGCTAGTGTTGTCATCCGTCAACTGGGTACTTTCTCTATTATTGTACTTGGAGAACCAATAAAGTAATTATGAGTATCCAGTGAGTTCACGTTAATCAACTCCATGCAGGGCTAACTTACCCCTAGAGTTCCACTATATGGAACTCCTAATAGAAGCAATCTAATAAACCATTATATGATTATCCAACATTATTATACCCTTACCTATGCTTTTTACTTTTCTTCTCCTTTTTCTTATCTTTTTTACTTTTCTTTTTTGATTTAATTTCTCCTTCCTCTTGATTGTCGTCGTCCGCTTCTACTTTCTTCTTCTCTTTCTTGGCTAAAATACAGGAAAAATTAATTGAAATTTCTTAAATTTATAAGTTTTTTAAGATGTTCAAAAAAAAGTATAAGAACACCTGTGGAACTTTTGGAGTGAAAAGCATATACTGGTGCAATGAAACATCCACATCTTTAAAGACCTTATTTTCTTTTAGTGAATTAATAAACTTAGCAAGCAAGATTCTTTGCTTTGCGTTATCCACGCCACTTATACTACTTCCTAAAGCCCCTCTTGTAGGGGGGGGCGGTAAACGGAAAACATTGATTTACCTGTACGTCATAGAAAAAAAATAAAAAATGTGTCAAACAAGTGAAAAAAAATGTTTGTCAACACTTTTTTCTGTAAAATTAACCGTTCTCGCAGAACAAAGCTTGATGTGATATCTTTTGATCAGAGTGTCCTATCGAAAAAAATCAAAATATGTTTTAAAGGAGAAGAGTACAGCTTTCGTATGCAATTTTTATATTTTGCCATAGTTTCTGGTAGAAACTGAAAGAATATGTTTTATTACTTTCTTTCACTGCTAATTTGCACTCACCGTCAAACCAATTATTTCTTCTTTTATTTTGCATTTTGCCAACACTTTCTATGCTGCATTGTTTATTCCTGGTTTGATTTTTTCCACTGTTTCCCCATTTGTTGTTCTTTAAACTGTATCTACATATTTACTTCTTGTACAAATCTACTTCTTACTTCTTTCTCTTTTAATTTATCTACGTCCCATTTTCTCTGTGCTTTTCGCCTTTCATTCTTCGTTGTTTTTATGTTAGATTTCGTAATCACTAGCATATGGTCCGAATCGATATTGGCCCCTCTGTGAAATCTAACGTCATTTATCGATTATCATATCCTGGCCTCATCCATGTTATTTTGTGTATATCTTTGTGTTTAAATCTCATGTTACTTACATCCATTGCTAAATGCCGCTGCTAAATTACATAGTCTTTTTCCGTTATTATTGGTTGTGTTATACACTGGGGTACAAAATTAAACGGACATTCCTATTAATTAGACACTAGGTTTTTCCTAAAAACTGGCGTTTAAAAAAGTTTAAGATGTTCCCAATTGAGTATTTAATAATAAACAAAATTTAAAAGTCAAATTTGTTACAACTCAAGAATGTTACACAAAAAAGACCATCAAAGATTATTTTTTAAATATGCTGTTTCCAGCAGTGTAATATTTTTATTTTACTTAAAACGCAAAATATACCTAAAAATACCTATGCTTTTTGCCTAACTAATTTTTTAGTTCTCAACACCTGACAGTGTGGCCAGACCCATAACAAGAAATACTGTTGCAATATGGAAGGCAACAGCCCCAATTAACTCGTCGAAGGGTTGATACCGATCAATCATCGAGCAATAAGACAAAAGAGGGAATCTAATCGTTATAAAAAGGAGACCAAAAAGTGGCCTCTGATGGCGGACACATCCGAAAATGCAAATGCGCCAAATTTAAATTTTTCGACACTTATCAACAGTAGCTATATAATATTTTTCAAAATGTGTCTTAGACGAGAAAGTTTTAATTAATTATTAATAAGAGTCTAAAATGCGACACAATTGTTAAAAAACTTCAATATAAATAAGATTTCATGTGACATTTGGGACAAACAATAACATAACCCAACTAAATTTGATGTCAAACAAGGAGAGAGACTCTCTATCCTTGTCTAAAGTGGCCTCTCATGATGGCACTTCCTGTCTATCAATATGTTTACCCCTTCTACCTTTACATTCCCTCTTTTGTCTTATTGCTCGATGCGATCAATGCACAGTTTTCTTCTATTTGTTTACTTTTTTGTATGTTCCCAGATATTCCGCAACGCCGGCAGCGTCGCAAAATACTTGACCGTACTCCTGTGCTAATTTGTCTATCGCTTGTAGTAATTCAATATCACTTACAATTGCAGTTTATAACCTAATACACACTTTGCGAAGATTTAACCATAAACTGTTGTCTATTTCCTTACAAAACCAACTGTTTTACGCCAGAGAGCAAAACAACTTGTGTTCACACCAAATTTACTCTATGCAACAAAATGTATTACTTCATACTATGTACACAGCTCATCTAAGTCACTGTTTTAATAAACTTTACGACATCTGGTTCATTAAAGAGTTGGTATAATTTTTAATAATATAAAAAATCCACCGTATCCACTGCAGGAAACATACAGGTTTTAATTATTGAGGTCCATAACACTTAGATATATATCTAGCAGGAATAAAGTCACAGGATTGACTTAATTCTATGGACTATTTCTCTCCCCTGAAAGCCTAGTAAAAAAATGTGAGCCTGACCTACTTATAGCATATATAACTGTCTTTCAACATATCCTAAATCAATTCCAAGATAGACAGAAGCATATCGAACCCCAAGAGTCTTTTGTTACCGACATATCTGTCTATAACGATTTGACACTGAAAAAACAAAGGCTTCAATTAACCATTCTTACCATTCAAAGTAGAGTTTATTTTACCTTCACATCCTTTTTCATAGTATCTTTAAATTGTTCACATCTTCAGGATAAACTATGATTCTATCTTTCTAAAATTTATTAATTTACTAAAAATAACTATTGTGTCTATGATAATATGGATGTTTCATGTAGATATCAGTTTTATTTGAAAACTTATGAGGACAAAGAGGTTTTCAACAAAATTTTTTGAGCAGTATATTATTTTTAAGTGCAGATTGTTTCATGAGACAAATATTTTTTAGAAAGGGCATTACCTTTGACTTGCTTTACAAGCTCTCCGCACTTGATGATCTTCGCATCCTGAAGGGGTCGACTGTTAGCATCCACTGGAAGTGATTCGATCTGCCTCACCAAATCAACTCCGCTTACTACTCTTCCAAAAACCACGTGAACACTAAAAATAGATCAGTTACATCGATGGTCTATACAGGACCAGAAATAGTATGTAATGTATAGTTTGCTCATTTACAAAAATATTACACAGGGGGGTTCATATACGACATTTGTAATTTCAAAATTATCAAACCCTTCTAAAAATTAAAGACAGTTAATAAAAGATATTTTTAAAAAAGTATCATATAGTGATCATTGTATTGGAATGGTACGAAAAAGAAGAATATGCTGGTTTTTATGTTAATTGATGTTTATACTTTTGATGTTCAATTAGCAGTAATATTTGTAATTATTCTAGCAATAAAGAGCAAAACTGTACAAAACATATTTTTGTGGTCCTGCTTAAATTAATAGTTTCAACTTACTCGTCGAGATGGGGGGCCGGTTGCGTTGTACTATAACACAAAAATTCACAAGATATGATCAGCGTAGCCTCGTACTATGGGGTACACGTGTAGAGCTACATACATGACAAATAAATACGGCTCTGTAACATTTATTTAACTCGTTGGAGTTAGAATTGAAAACTATCATGACACTTAAGTCCAATTCAATGTTGCCATATAAAAATATATGATTGCTAAATAGTTTTAGGCTGAAAGAAAGCTGTTTTATTAATTTAATACAGGGTGGAGTTTGACTCAAATGTGACTAAAACAATCGTGTAATTGTTTTTGATATTAAATCAAATATACTATGAAACTTATAATAAAGTGTAACAAAATAAACATATAATTTTTTTTTCAGTTTACATTGAGTAGACAGAAGACCAATTTAGTAACTGATTAATCAAGGATAACATCTTGTTCTTCCCGCATTACATATACCCTATAAGAGCATTGGATGTTTTTGATATCTATTCAGGGTTTACAGATTTTTTAACGCCTTCCAGTCACCTACTATTTGCCTCAACTATTGCAATATTTTGCCAGTTTTAATCCTGATTTCCTAGATATATTGCATCCACCTCTTTCTATTTCTACACCTTCCTCTTGTTCTATGTGTACACACTGATTCAATTTTTTGTTGTTCCTATCTGATATTTTTATTTCTTTCATTTTTAATTCTTCTGTTAGGGCATATATTTGCTCCATGTTCCACTACTCTTTCAGTTCTATTTAAATTTAATTAGTTTTAATTCTGCTATCCTTTTGTCTCACTCTGTTACTATTAAGTCTCTGTTGACTCTAGAGTAATAAATCATGTACTTTTCTATTATTGTTGTGTTTCCTCTCCGAAATTTCTGTTTTGTTAATATCTATTATTTGTATTTTATATTCTTATTTCTTGCACTAATCCGCATTCCTTTCCTATAAGAAATATTAGGTTCCATGCATCAATTTTCAGATTTTTATTTTCATTTACTCTGTCCTATCCTTTTTTCATGTTAGTAATTTTAGTTGGTATTTCTTTATCGTTTTTCTTTTGTAGGTTTTCTTGATGTTTATACATATAGCCGCTTAGAGGGCACCACCAATAAACCTTCTGACACAAATATAACCTCAATCTTTTGTTGACATAAACCGAGAGTTTCATTGTGATACAACAGTGAATAGATACATAGAAAAGTGAACATTTTCAAGCAATAATTTTTTACAATTTTCAGAGAAGATTATCCCAAGAGCAATGTTCACTGATAGTGAAAAACTGATAAAAACATAAAAAAAGTGACAGAAGTCACAGAAGTCACTGATGAAGTTGGCATATCAATACATTTTTTAAAAATGTTTTGGGTATGAAACATGTGTCAGCAAAAGATTGTTGAATTTTGAACAAAAACAGGGGCAAATGGAAGTTGTTCAAGAGTCAATAAATGAAGATCCAGAATTACTCAAAAGGGTTATAACAGGTGATGAAACATGGGTTTATGACTATGATATTAAAACTAAGGTTCAATTGTCCCAGTGGAGCCATTCTGGTTTGCCAAGGCCAAAAACCACTCGACAAGTGCAGTCAGTTGAAGTGAAGGTTATACTCACTGTGTTCTTTGATTTTAATGGCATACTGTACCATGAATTTTTGTTACAAAGTCAAATAAGTAATAAAGAGTACTACCTACAAGTTCAACACCATTTGCGTGAAGCAATCCAAAAAAAGACTGAATTTGTAGAAAAATGATTGCTTTTGCATCATGATATTACAGCAGCTCACACCGCATTGCTTGTTCATGAATTTTTGGCCAAAACAATACTGTAATGATACCCCATCTTCCATATTCACTAGATATGGCTCCATGTGATTTTTTTCTATTTCTAAACATAAAGAAACCTTTAAAGATCAGTCATTTCACAAGCATAGATGACATTAAAAGAGCATCACTGATAGGCTATCCCAAAGATTGGATTTGAGAAGTGTTTCAAGGATTGGCAAAAGCGTTAGCACAAGTGCATAATAGCTGAGGGGGACTACTTTGAAAAGAGACAGAGACAACATTAATGTAGACGAATAAATGAATACTTTTTTCAAAAAACAAAATTTTGTCTATATTGAATTGACTATATTGAAATATAGTCAATTCACATAGTCATAACAATATTTATATACTATTCACTCAATCAAACTATGTAAAATAGTTCTCCAGTTTATTTGTCTTTTATCTTTTAATTTTAAAATAAATTATTCAACCACCCTGTATATCAACTTTCCTTTACCTAGAATACTTACATAAAGAACTGTGATCCATTAGTGTCTTTTCCTCTATTAGCCATTGATAACAACAATGGCTGATCATGTTTGAGAATAAAATTCTCATCTGAAAAAGCAAAATATTCCTTTATTAGCCTTAACTTTAAAGTAACACAATAGGTGGGGCAGATACAACTAAAATAACACACTGCTAACCACAAACTGTTTGTTCAATTGCATCAATATTGCTGAATGTAAACATGAAATTTATTATGTGAAATTGGGAGTCCAAAAATTCAATATTAGGCAAAAATGCACAAAAAAAATTTTGATAGGTTTAGTATTTTACATTATATTATTTATAAATATTTTATACTTTATACCTTAATAGTTGACAGTTTGCTGAGGTTATAAACCAGAAACATGCATGCCATCTACATGGACTTTTGAAAACCCACTTGTCACATTTTTACAATCCTAGTGTGCAACCAAATTTTTTACTTAAAACAGGGTAGCATATTCAAATATATTGAAAACACTAGTTTTAGGAAAATATGTATGTCACAAAGATATGGGTCCCTGTAGAGAGTGTAATAGATAAGTTTGTGGTATCGGTAAATGGAATGTTTAAATAATTTGTAATTTTTCTACTAATTTCATGTTAAACATACCTTCAAATGTCCCTCCATATATACTTTCGCCTCCAGTACCATTTCCATTTGAGAAATCACCACCTTGGATAATAAAATCCTTGACCACACGATGGAATATTGCATCCTATAAACAAGGCAGTGTTTATATGCAAATTTGTCTACATAACAATTAAAAATTATGAAAAGTGAAAATGAAATGACATTCATTTGTGATATTAAAGAGAGCTTTTGTCTAGCATTCTTTCCAGCCAAAACTCTTGTATGATTCTAGGTGATCCCCTACTAAATATACTATTATTTAATTCTACATGTCCTTTCTCTACCAAACAAAAACTCAAAAAACAAATTTCATTTTTAGAAACCTTCCATAATTGGTAATAGTCCTAGGTACCTTGTTATCAGCCTTCTAAATATCAAAGCTTGGATTGACTCATCAAAGTAAAATGTTATGGTCAACACTCCCTTTAAAAAGGAGATGCTTATGTCCCAAAACTGATTTGGCTATATTAAAATTAACCCTATTAGGAATAGGTTTCTATAAGGCCATGAGGTACCGATTTCATAAATGGCGCTCCTCTTTAATATTGCGCTATAATATTTTTATAAACTTACTTTATAATAAAGAGGTTTTTGAGTCTCTTCCCCCAGCCCTTTTTCACCGGTGCACAAAGCTCTGAAGTTTTCACAACACTTCGGAGCCACATCCGTAAAAAGTTCGAAAACGATTCTACCGCTATTAATGCCGCCGATTGATACGTCGAAAAAACATCTAGCACGTTGAGCAGGGGTTTCTCTAGAAGGGGGCTCTTCTTCCCCCATTTTTAATCAGAGTTGTTACCGTTCAAACAGGAACAAATTATATTGAACAACGAAAAATTTGCAATTGCATCTGTTCCTGATAATATTTATAATTGGGAAAAATGTCCAGAAATTTGATAATAGAAACACAAATGAAATTTCTAATTTCTAAATTAAAAGACAAATTATTGTGTCAACGTCACACACATAACACATACGACATACTGCGACATACGATCTTACGACTTACGTACGATTACTTAGAATACATTTGACATTGACAGTAAATGAGTAAATCGAAATATCGCTGATTATCACGGTTCGTAAACATACTACGGTTGCCTGTTCTGACTAACCAATGAACATTAAGCCCAAAATTACGTCACGAGAGTACAGTAATTTAAATCATAACATTCTTAATCGGCGTTTTCATGTCTTTGATGTATAGAAAATAGTAAAGAGATTATGAAATAAAAATGTTTAGTGGGTTATAATACCTAATTATGGAAAACTGTTGATATGTAGGTAGTTTGATTAATGAAATTAATCAGAATAAAGTTCTCGATTTACGCAAATCTAGGATTTCAATCTCCATTTTACACTTAAAATTTGTCGCATATACTGAATTATTAATACTGGGTTAACTTTTGAATGAATTACCGGCCCTTAGAGATCAGCTAGGATAACCTAAGTTGGAATTACTTGTATAATTTAATGTAAGAATTTAAATAATAGGTAATAAATTTTAATTGGAAAAAAAAAAAAATTGGTTTATTATATTTCCAATAGATATAAATATTGTTATATTTTGATTAATTCTAATTTATAGTTCTTAATTTAATTTATTAAAGGTTCAATATTTATAACACTCACGACTTTATTAAAGTCTTTATTAATACTAATTTATTTTACAATAATTTATTACGACGTACATTTAAATACGCGGCCCGAATTTATCTTCTTACTTCACTAACTGCTCAATGAAAATCTTCCGTTATTTATATGAAACCAGCTGGTAAATAGAATGTTGTCGAAAATACAATGCCCTCCTCGACGTAGACAGGGCGGCAATGATCTAAAAACTGGTATCGGTGCGGTTCCAGAAAGCTCATATTTGTTGTTTTTATAGCGAAGGGGAACTCATGGTGTGTCAGGTAGATTTTGACCTAGAAATTACGAGAATCAATAAAAAAAGAATTAGTTATAAAATATTTACAGTTTTATACGCCATAACATTTATTATCGTAACAATATACACTGCATCATTATTTTTTTCATTTTTTAAAATATTTTTCTTTCAATGATAGCTGTTTGTGTTTTCATTGCTACTCTTTTATCTCTTCTTGCTGTAGGTTCACATTTTGTTTGTTTTTAAACATCTTGAGAATTTAAGTTTTTACTCGGAATTGCTATAAAATAGTGATGATAAACTAAGATATTTAAGAAACGATAAATAATAAATCAAATAATAACTGAAAGATAATTACCACAAACAAACTGTGATAATAAATGGGTTTTGTATTCTTGTGTACTCTGGTGATGTAACTCAAGCATCCCCACTCCAGTCGGAAGAGGCAACTGTAGTAAGTCTATGAACCGTGATGTTTATCTACAAATTTAAAAATATAATAAATCCAGACTCGCCTATTGTAATAAAAAACTGTCAGTATATGCTCTAAAATTCATTCTTAACATTTTTTCATTTAAAGCTTCCAATATATCCTAGCAGACGAAAATATTCCCATTCTACAGAAATGAACATTTTCCAGAGAATAAAATCATTATACAATCATCATTAAGTGAAGTAGAATTCATTGAAATAAATTTAATCTCTGTAGACTTCATACCATATTACTATACTAGTAGTACACAATTTTTCACCATCAATGAATATTGAAGTGTTGTATGACTCTTCCTCTGATTATTAATTTTGAAATTTTTGTATATTTCACTTAAAACATTTTTAATTCCCAGTTTAACTAGTAACTTTTCATATTGTTTAAATTTGTTTCTGCTTAACTTATGTTTTTATAAAATATCTCACTTGGAAACAAACCCAATTATAAAATAAACTCATTGGCATTTATTTATATATCTATTTTCATATTTTATAATAATCTATAGTTAAATGATCTAACACTAAACCCATGATGATTATTTATATTACCTGCATAGATTTCATAATTTATTATAACTTTAAGCAAAAAATAAAAAACATTTTAGGAGAAATTGTTTATTAATAAATTATCTAACACAATAACCATGATTTCTTTCAAATCATGAAGACGAATTTAAAAGCTTTTTAACCTCTTCATTTTGTTTTATTGCATCAATACCTTTAGCTGTTAATTCTCTGGTAGTGTCAGGCAGATCAGATAAGAATTTGAAAGTAACTAAAACACCTTTATTCCAACTTTCTTTAACTATTGAGGAGGCTACATCACTTTCTGGCAGTTTTGGGAGCTAAAACATAGTTACATTAAATTATTAAAGCAATATGAAAATATGTTAGAGGTCTTAAAGTATTCAAAATAAATATAATTTTGCTATGTTTCTACTTTTATCATTTAATACAGAAGTATGTGATGCTATGCACAGATAAACTCATAAAAACCGCCACTTTAGTCACTTAATTTATATATTTTTTAAATTTACCTCATAAGGAATTTGAGATGTTAGTTCTTTGACATAAGGACATGCAACTTCTTTAATTTTTTCATAAGCTTTTATGCTTTCGTCGCTTTGTTTCCATACTCCTTGTTCTTTTATGTAGTAAACAGCTGTGGCAGCAATTCCGGCTTTAATTGCAAACCTAAAATTAATTGTTTGATGTTATTATGTAAGAAATATCATTGTTGTTTATGAAACCTTGTAACTGAATGGGGAAAGGGCTTGACAAAATTAAATGGGTACAGCATTTTCTAAAGACATTTAAATTTTCTTGACATTTAAACATAAATAAATATTTAATTTTATACCTACTTGATCATTTTATTAAGTTTTTTTCCTGACACTGACACCCATTTAACCTAAAATGTAAATGTCCATGTCAATGTCAACGATAATGCAGATATTATTTCGTCTTCTTTTACACTTTACTCTGCCAGTCTCTAAAGTAACTTGTGTTCAGCAGTTGCATAAAATTTATTAGCTGATATCACATGTAGTTTAAACAACAGACAAATAAATTCAACCCATAAACATGCTAGTTAGGAACATTAAGGCAACTTATTATTAAGTAAAGTTATTATTTATGTTTTATCTACTTTGGGTTTATATTTTTATATCTTTTGATTGGTGTTTCATTGGAAGTTTCCCATAAGGTATATCCGCCACTGATTTTATACAGCGGGAATTACAAAAAAGAGAATACTGAAGTAGGATTCTAAAATATGAATTCTACGAAATTCTAACTGTGTGCGACGAAATACCAAAAAAGAGATTTTCAATATATACACAGCAGCTATCTCTTTCGATAGACTCAACTGGTACGGTCTGTAGAAGATTCTACACCCTCAAAAAAAGACGGTAATGATGTTGACTTCGTTTGTTTATGAATTTAAGACTGAAACTTTCAAAAAATCGCTGTAGTTTATCGTATAATTTGTCTGAGGTTAAAGGAAACCTATATAATCCTTTATGTTATATTTGAATCTGCTGGGGATTCGTTTGAGGAACTTGAGAAAAGTGCTTTTCATGTGAAACGTTCCAAACTTCGCAATAGTTGATTCCTTAGACAAGGAAAGAGAAAAGAGAGTAATTCTGTTTCCTGTTTATTTATGTTCTTTGCATGTGGCAACAATGTAATGTAAACTGCGTACGCATCTAAAAATATAACCTTAGTTATGGCAAAAAGTTCTAATATTATTATTTAGTTGTAATTCGAAATAAACGCTACAATGAACGATAATATAATTTCCGAATTGGAGAAAGCTGCCGAAATAATAATGGTATGTAAATGTTTTTATCCTATAGATACGTTTAATTGACGTTAGTGATTTACAGGCACCTCCAAATGTTATATCAAACGAACAAAGACGTTTAGCGGAATCTATTTTCCTAGATTTTAGGAAAAGCAAATCACCCTATGGACTATGTCGAGATATTTTGGAAAAGTCTCAGAATCCATATGTCTTATTCGAGGCAGCTGAAGTATTAAAAGTAGCCATTATCAGAGAGTGGTCATTTTTATTTGAAAATGATAAAACTTCTCTACGGCAATACTTGTTTCAATATATTACCACCAGAAATTTACCCCCGTTTGTAAGAGATCGTATTTTACAAGTTATTGCTATTATGGTCAAAAGAGCAAGCATTGATGATGGGGGAAGAGAAAGAGCAAATATTTTAAAACAAGTTGAGAGTTTGATTGTTAATGCTGAGCCTGCTAAGGTAAGTTGCGCGTTTTCTGTAATAAACCAAACTAATCTATTAATTTCATTGAACCTAAGTAGAATTAGTATTAAACATAATATTTTGTAAGTATGTATTTCCTATTTCTTATATTTCATCATATTTTGTATCCATTTTCCAGAGTGAATATATACACAAAATAAATTTAATAAACCAATACAACAAAGTATCCAAAGACCTAACAGATTTTGAGATTAAAAAAAGGGGGCACAACACCCCCCGTTTTTTGTTTGGAAAAATGATAATTTATTTTTTTTTATAATGTATAAATATTTTTCATATTACTGACCTATTGACCTCAAACTCATTAGGGTTTTCCTTTGGTTTAATCTGTTCCTTGGAACCAATATTAATCTATAAATATTTAAAGTTAACTACTTTTCTATAAATTTTCAATGCAGACTGCAGACATGTCAACATTCCATAAAGTTATCTCAAAGAGGAATAGGGTGAATACATTCAGAATGGTGAAGGGACCTTGATATAACTTTTCAGGGTGCAATTTACTGAGTCTAAAACAAAAGTAATACCTACAGCTCAACTCATGCCAGTAGATTGGACTGGAGAGAATGGTTCTAGGGAAAATTAGCAAGTGGCAAAAGAGGCAGTAACTCAGAACAAAATCAGATGATATTACAGGTTTTGATACACAAACTTGGCAAATCCAGACAAGAAAAAGTTAAGTCCCTGAGGTCTGTATGATATCCCTGAAAAGACGAGAAAAGCTACTTGATAGGCACATTAGGGATGGTATATTGGTTCTAAGTCTGATACAACAGGGACAGTATGTGTATAGAATAGGATTCTCTACAGAAAGTACTGCACTGCATCATCACATACAATGGGTGGAGTGTGTACTGGAAAACAATGGGACTGCTTCATGGAGACTTACGCCACTGACTTTAATCAGTCAACCATATCTTTCATTACTGTAAGGCACTAAAATTCAGGAAATAAATAGTTTTCAGAGACTATCAATTGACTCCAAAAAATTTGGTATCCGTCCTCTAGACTTGTATAAGCTGGTACCAATCCTGGAATGATTTTGATGAACTAATTGAATATCTACAACCAACCAACTGGTTGCAGTATAACAAATTTATAAAAAGGCTTCTAAAAAAGAATTTTCTATAGGGTCCTCCTAAGTTTTTGTAAAATAGTGTCACAAAACATATGTATGGTAATTTTTTTTCTCCTTTTGCCTTCTTCTAAGTGTTGTATTGTTAGAGCTTTAATAAATAGTTATTGATTAATTAGCTAAACAAAAAGTGATGTACAAATTTACTAGCTTTGAAAACAGAAACAAATTCTCACTAAAATTATGACAATTGGAAGATACAAGTGGCTACATTTCAAAACTTTGTTTTTTTTAACTACATTTTTGGTTGCTCTTGTAGTTTGAAGTCATAGGTGTCTATCGCTTCAAACCTAAAGATTTTGTGCCCATGGTGTAGATGAAGTTCCAGTGACCATATACCATTTAAAATTAAGAAATTTGTCAAATATTTTGTGAATACAATATTTGTCTAATCAAAATCATATTTAGATACATGCATAAATGTCAATATATGTCAATAACTTTTCCCTTGCACTCATATACTAAGAAAAAGTTAAATAAATTACATTAAGATCATTAACTTACCATATTTAATGTCAATATAATTAAAACCAAATATTTACATGTTTTCATGGAAAATTATTTAATGTCATAATAAACAATTTAAAGCTAATCTAAATAGCAAAATAATGAAGTTGATTGATTTTTGATATTTTGAATAAAAAGAAAACAAAAATATTGATAACAAAATTTTAATTATTTATTGATCACAAACAGAATAATGTATATACAGGAATCACTCATTATTCACAAACTCATCAACTGTGGTTTCACATTTCTCCAGTTTTGATATGTGTGGATTCGATATTTTGCAATTTAGATTTTATTAGGTATAGACTTTTGACAAATGCTTCACTCTATACAGTCTGTACAATAATTCACTTGTGTCCAGTATCACTCCTATGTGTGACATTACTTATGCAGTAGGTATTTCACAGATATCTACATTACATTATCTACTTTTTTGCATTTTGTGTAGTAACAATGTGTATAGTACTCGTTTTAATGTGATACATAGTTTTTCCAATGAAAAATGTTGTCATCTGAAAGAGATGGTAAAGATTTGACTAAAAGGAAAAGATGTGTAATGAATTTAGATAAAAAAATCAGTTGTTATACTGCTTAACAGCAGGCGAATCATTTGCAAGTGCCACAAAGAAATTTAAAGTACGAATCTACTACAAGGACTATTAAAAAGAAGTGAGAAAACTATTCATTCCAGTGTAAACTGAAAAATAGAAAACACACTGGCCTTATGGATCGAAGATCAAACAAAAAAAAGGATGTCAATTAGAATACATATAACAAGAAAATTTATGACAATTTGAAAAAGGGGGACAACAAATGTTCTAATTTCCAAGCGAGTAAAGGATGGTTTGAAAGATTTAAAAAACAAGTTTCTTTACATAACGACAAAATTGTTGGAGAATCAGCTTCTGCGGCTCTTATGGTCCAGACATGCCTAACCTGTATGCAGTTAAACTTAGCAGAACTCATAGAAAGTGTAGATGTAAGCTAGAACAAGTTTTTAACACTGTTTTTGGAAAAAAATTCTTTCTCATACCTTCATTGCTCACGGACTGGTTTACTAACTGTTTTGTAGTATTTAGCATTAATATTGCTACCATTTAAAGTACCTCTTCTTACCGATAATGCTTGTGGACATCCAGAATCCACAAACTTAACCCATTAGTTCCCAACGTTGCAACATTGTCTTTGTCAAAAACTTCACACAGTGAGGCAAATTGTTAACAAATATAGCGAACAGAAGAGGACCCAAGTTGCTACCTTGTGGTACACCTGATGTCGACATAAGTGGCTTAGATAAACTGTTCCCCTGTACTAATTGTACTTTAATTTGATTTAACCTATCAGAAAGATATGACCACATAAACATGCATGCTTCTGAATAAAAATCAAATTTGCTTAGCTTTTTAAGTGATCAATTTTATCAAAAGCTTTGGTACACTCAGTAATAATGACATCCAGCTGAATTTTATTATTTATGGCCCCTGCTGCAAAACTTGTAAAAATGCACAAATTTGACACAGTGGACTTCCCTGGTAAAAAACCATGTTGTTCTGGACAGAACCTATCTCTTAAGTAATTCAAAATATTGTTAAAAGGCAGATTGTGCTCAATATCTTTTGATCAAAGTTCATTTATTTGAGCATTCAACCTTACATCAAATTAAAAATTAGTGTGAGAGGGACAGAAAGAGTCTCTGCACAACCTTTAAAAATGTATGCTGGTATATTGTCATTACCTCTGGCTTTTTTGGTTTTAGTTCTTTAATGCTTTGGAGAACATTCTCAACTGTTATTTTTGAAAAGTAAAAACCCCCTGATTCAGTGTACTATTTAAACACTGTCTTCCTAAAACTCACAAACATAAGTTACTTTGAATTAACCTGTACTTTATATAAAAGTAACACTTTGTTTCAGAAAATTCTGGGATGTAACATAATATCCAATTTAATGCAAGAATATGCAACAACGGTAAAATCGACTGATGTAGGGCTTACATGGGAAGTTCACTTCAAAGCCAAGAAACAATTTGAGGCAACAGACTTAAAGAGGATTTTTCAATTTTGTATATACCTTCTGTCGGAAGTTGTGAAGAATGATCCACCATATTCTGACACTTTGTTGGAGCTCTCCAGACATTTGCTGAAAATTACAGAAAGTGTTTTAACATGGGCTTATGTGTCATCGATTCATATCCTTTTTTAACATTTTTAAAATTATATTTTTAGTTATCCACCAAGAATTAGATTGTTAGGTTATTATTATTATTAATTGTATTTATTATAATTATATTTTCTTTAACTCCTGTGCACTTCCCAAGAAAATAGTCGGAATATACGAGTCAATCTATGAAGCCTTAAAACTAAACGAATCATGGTCTGAGATTGTCCTTAATCCTGACTTTCTTCCGCTGATGTTTCAAATATACTGGAAAGTCAGAGATATAGACCAACTGGCGCATCATTCCTTAATTTGTCTGATCCAGCTAGCGTCTCTATCAGGAGGCATTCTTCCCAATGATGAGACTCGATTGAAGTATCTGCATTCTTATTTGGTGTCATTTTTTAATCTCATCTCAAAGTAAGTATTTGTAGTTGTAAATAATCAGCAACATACTGATTTATTTTAAGACGACAATATTTGATATAATTTTTTTTGTGTTTCAGTGTTACCATAAAAAATAAGGAGGCGTTGGGTTTGTCAAATATCGTGAAGAAGTTAATCACGTTTTTCTTACCTTGCATTTTTCAGTTACCAGATGGAATGAAAGATACTTTATTAGATGAATTTACAAGAATTACTTGCCATCTGTGCGATGGAGCTGCAATGGAAGAAATAGTAAGTATTTTATATTCTTGTTGTTTTGTATAAAAATGCAATATTTTGACTGTAAATAAAAGTATCGAAAAATAGCAAATATGTGTAGCAAATATATGTAAAATAAAATGCAATTGAAATAACAATTGGCAGATTTAATAACTTATTGTCAACTCTATATGAGATTCACTTTTGTCTGTGTTTGATCCCCGCTCGGAGTCTAAGGTCTAAGGTTAAATAGGATGAACACCGATGCTCGTTTGTTTGCTTGCGTTCCCGACGAGATTTTGTTGCAGAATGGTCGATCATATGAAAGAAAACACCTATGTACTTAAGTCGACTAGGGTGGTTCTGTTTTTAGGACCTCCGTGAATAGCAGTAATTTAAGCTTAAAATGACATTTTAAAATGGGCGGATACGTTTCCTTAAGGACTCTGAAGTGTTTGGGTGATAAATGATTCCCAAAAACATGTTGTTTTTCAGACAAGTGAATTCTCAGAACTTGACAATAATTAATCAGTCAATTTGAGTTCGAGAATTTAAAAAATAAACTAAAGTCATATTATAATTAGCTAATATATTATGATTAAAAAAGATTTAAAACTAAATAAGGCCATATTCTGAATAATAAAAATAAAATATTTAAATCAGTCTTGACACTTTTCCAAAAACTTGTGAACAACATTATTTATGTTTTTCTTCGCAGAAGAAAATCACAAGAAATCTTTGCATTTCTACTTTGGTGTTTTATTTTAAATTTTGTAGGAAAACGAAGAGGACCGATATTTTACCGACGCATTTGACAACATGTTAGAAGCTTGGACCGGCCTAATACAAGACCTCTCACACTCACATTACGACGAAAAATTTCAAGACTGCGCCAAACAAGTGTTTAATAAATACGTTCAATGCCATCTAGCACCACCGGATGGATGTAGAAGAAGTAATGTAGACGTAGACGATGATAATGAAGATAACGACAGGGTTAGATACAAAGATCAGTTACAGGTTATAGGAATGTTCGGTAGAGTTGTACCAGGCCATTCCTTACAGGTTTTGTACAAGTAAGTGTATAGACATGTGTCATCAAAATGTAAATACAGTAGAACTTTAAGTCGGATTAATGATACTAAATCGTTTTTTTAGAGGTATAAAACTTTAAAACGGAATAATACATAGATAAATTTTTTAAATTGGCATAAAAGAGGCTCTATTCCAAAGATAATCTTTTCTATCGAGAGATCCAATTTTCGATAATTTTTGGCAGCATTTGTGTTCTTAAATCCGGCAATCACGCGCAGAATGCTGTGTGTGAACAACTTTCAGATACAGTTTTAATATACGGCTCATTAAACTTATCGTGATATACTCATTACTCATACTGAAGGACTGGTATTATACCAATTCTCTAAATGCAGTTGAATTGTCTATGTGTATCTCATCATCAGATCCATTACGTCATTTATTAGATTACTGTGTTTTTAAAAACAGAATATATATTAGTGGTCTTACATCGCACGATCTTGGTGACCAATCCACAAGTCCGAAATATGAAATTACATGGTCACCAAACATTTTCTTTAAGTATCGATGATCTCAAACCTCTAAGTATCGACGATTACAATAAATTAATAATAGACTCGGTTAGAAACGCACAACTCAAATTGTGCAAGAAGATTAGCAAAGATACAAAAGCTCTCATGGAAATACGACGAAACCTAAGCGAGAACGAAAAGGGAAACAAAGAAGAATATAAAAAACTAAATAAAAGAATTTTAGCGGAAATTAGACAAAATGTAAGAAGATATAATACTAGTGTAATTACTCAAACAGTAGAAAAGAACAAAGGTTTAAAGATAATGAAAAGAAAACTCACACAAAGTAAAAAAGAAATATACAAGTTGAGAGATAAAGACGGAAAAACAACAAGAGATAAACAAAACATTCTGAAAATAACCAGAGAGTTTTATAAAGACCTATATACCAGCCAAAGACCACAAGACAATTTTCCGACACGAGACTTCATAAATCAAGGACTCGGAAATACTTTTACCCATTACTGTGTCAGAAGTAAGAGCAGCTTTAAAGGAAATGAAGAACCATCGATCGCCTGGTGATGATGGACTCGTTATTGAGGCAATAAAAGCAGGAGGAGAAATTCTATTAAAATCAGTAAGCGAACTGTTTAATAAATGCTTACTAACGGGTACGATTATAAAAGACTGGAACAATGCAGTGATAGTCTTGTTACACAGAAAAGGCGATATTACTAAATTAGAAAATTATAGACCCATCAGCTTTTTGACATATATGTACAAACTCTTTATGAAAATCTTAACAAAGAGACTAACACATAAACTCGATTTCTATCAGCCCAAAGAACAGGCAGGCTTCAGTGCAGGATATTGCACAAATAAACATTTGCATACCATAAAGAATAATAGAAAATATAATACAATAGAAAAGTGCATCTAGTACGACACACCACTGGTTCTTGCATTTGTCGATTACGAGAAGGTTTTTGATTCTGTAGAGTTTGAAACAGTACTGGAAGCCCTAAATATAAGCCGAATAGATTAAAGGTACACGACACTAATCAAAAACATCTACGAGAATGCTACATCAAGTATACGACTACACGAAGACACAGACAAATTCACTTAGGTCGAGGAGTTAGACAAGGAGACAATATTTCACCAAAATTGTTCACGGCAGCTCTAGAGTCAATATTTAAGAACACTCAATGGCAAGATATGGGCATCAATATAGATGGAGAAAGATAAAATCATCTAAGGTTTCCTGTCTGAAAGAGCAGAATTAAGGATAAACTTTTAGAAAACTATACTTATGACAAATCTCGTAATGAGTGGAAATATAACTATAGACAATAATACCATATAACAAACAGACACTTACAAATATCTGGGACACAAGATCAAAATAAGCAGAGACAATCAAACATATGAAATACAGAGGCGAATTGGCCTGACTTGGGCAGCATTTGGCAAATTAAGCCATATCCTAAAAAGTTCAATTTCCATGTGTCTCAAGCGAAAGGTTTTTAACCAATGTGTTTTGCCTGTACAAACTTATGGAGCAGAGACTTTAACACTCACGTAAAAATCTTCGAATGAGTTACAAAACGAGCCATGGAACGTGCAATGCTGAACGTGAACCTTTAAGACCACATAACAAACCAACAAATCAAGCAAAGATCAGGAGTTCAAGACGTCATCGAAAGAATCACGACGCTTAAGTGGAACTGGGCAGGGCACTTAGCCAGAACACAAGATGGACTGTGGACAAGACGTATTATGGAATGGAGGCCCAGAAACTATAAAAGAAACCGAGGACGACCACCGACTAGATGGACCGATGATATAAAACATGTAGCGGGAAACTGGCTACAAGCGGCCCAGTGTAGAGAACACTGAAAAGAACCGAGGGAGGCCTATGTCCAGCAGTGGACGTGATTGGCTGATTGATGATACATTTTCTTTAATAAATCGATTGTGTCATGAACTGTGTAACATGTTTTTAATGCCACAGCTCCTCCATATCAAGGTTATTCAATTCAGGAACGAAAAAGTCAGTGATCCGGACTCTTAACGGTCACCATTGACTAAGACGTTCTGGTCAGCATTATTTTTAAAGAAGTAAGGCCAACAATTCCAGCAGCCCATAAAGTACACCAAACAGTCTTGATGTAACGGTTTTTTAATGTACCCTTAAGGAGGGTCTGCACATTCTGATAATCAAATACAGCAGTAATCGTGTAGCTTCAGTTCTTGCACAATTTGTCTTGTAAGAACGCAAATCAAGCACTGCACGATGGGAGATTAGGATCTTCTTCTATGCTACAGTCTGTAAGAGCAATAATTTCTTCTGTCCACACTATACAAAGTCTCTGTGGATGTTATGATTTAGAGTAAATGAGTTACGAAAACGTTCCAATCGCTATTATAATTAATTGTTTTGAAGGACGATGACGTAAAATGGGCATATTGCGCGATATGTATTTCAAAAAAACAACAATTCTCAAACAAATTTGCACAATTTGGAAGCTTTGTTAAGGTTTCAGTCCATTCATATTGTAATGGCAAGCCAAAGTAAACATAAATCACTTGACAGCTGTCAAAATGGTTGTCATAAAAAAAAGTATTGCCAACCTAAGTTCTATACTTCTAAAAAAACACCCATTGTAACAAATTAAGCATTTCAAGAACTTTTGTATATTTTTTACACGTACTACTCGTTATTTAGATTACTTGAAGACCGTATAACGAAGTTTTCTTACCACATACTATCGATGCAAAAGGGTGCGATGAATTTGAATCAACACGCAGGATTAACCGATCTATTCGAAGATATCCACTGGGTAACTTTAATTTCTGGGCATATTATTTGTATGGATAGCGATGGAGAGACGCCGATGATTCCGTCAGCCATTATGAAATATTCAATAGGTAAGAAAATTTAGGTTATGTGCACAGATTATGTACCTTTAGAGGCACGTCATAATATTAAAGATTTAGGTATAAATTTTGATTCTAAACTAATTTTTAAATATCCCATTAACGAAACTTCAGCTAAAGCTTTAAAAATGTTGGGATTTATTCTTAGAAACTGTAATCAGTTTTCAGTACAAACTTTAAAAATGTTATACTTTAGTTTAGTTCGATCAGTTTTGGAGTATGGTTCTCTCATTTGGTTTCCTTCATATAACAGTGACATCTACAGCATCGAGAGAGTTTAAAATAAATTCTTGAGGGTATGTGCTTACAAAATTGGTTTTATTAGGCAGCAATACACATATCATAATATACTGTCAATACTAAATATCTCATCACTACATGATAGAAGATGTCAAGCGGATTTATGTTTCCTTTTTAAAATTAAAAATGGATATGTTCAAGATCCAGAGTTACTAAGGTTAATAAGTTTTAATGTTAATACTAGAAGAACTCGTAACACTGAGATTTTCAACATTCCATTCCACACTACGAATTATGGCCAAAATGAACCCATTACAAGAATTTTACGAACTGCCAATGAGCACAGCAATAGTTTAGAGTATTTGGAATATCTACAGCAACATTTAAGAAATCATTTGAGAGATTTTGAGCATTATTTAATAACTTAAGCTACTACTTTAGTTGAATTTTGTTTGATTTTAATTTTGGTTTGTTTTTTATTAACGCAATCTATGTATAAGCTATATTTAACGCATTTTTTCATTACGTTTTCGTTAGGTTAATACCAAAATATAATATTTTAGATCAACATAAAGGCCAACAGTCCACATTACAAGCTTCTATGGCCGCAATAGAAGCTCTTGAGACAAAATTTTCGCAGCCCGAAAACCTTGATCAATGCGATCACGTTATCCGAATACTTTTCGATGTTATGAATCTATGTACCTTGGAAGATTACGCGGCTTCGGCTAAGTTAAAGCATTTAATGAGTCCAGAAGTAGGATCCACGGCCATGTGGTTCTTGAAGAGATGGTGTTTATCATATCTGTTGCCGGTTGAAAATTATTACGAAGAGGTAAGTTCGTATTATTTACTTTTTAATATACAGATTTGGAAAAAAAAATTACGGAAGATAGGATTTTTAACACAATAACTCAGATCCTCTGATTTGCAATTAACCAGTGTAAATTTTATTCATTCGTAATTAATTCATTTGTTCGACTGAAGTCAAGTCAATTTATGCCGCCAGTGTAAGTGTAAAAACGGAACAGAGCTAGAGTTTATGTCAATTTGCCTAAGACATACTTATTTATAAATGTACATTTGGAATTAAAATTATTATTTAACTAAACAAATGGTTGTTTTATTGCCAAAATGCTTGAAAAAAGTAGATTTCTAAAAATAAAAATAAAAAGGAATTTTATAAATAATACACTCTTTTTAATTTGAAATTATAAACAATACATATTTGGAATAATAAATGTATTTAAGTATAAATTTAATAATTCAAATAATACCTAATGAAATCAAACAAAATTGATGTTAATAAAACATTATTTATTATCTGCACAAACCCGGACTTTCAGGAAAAATCGGTAGACGGAACAACACTGTCGGCGTGCCACATACGCTATTACAAACCGCAGAGGAGAGGCAATCCGGTGGAACAAATAAATTAGTTATAAAACATAGCGATGGTATATTGAAATTTACACTGGTTAATTACAAATCATGGAATCATCTTAGTTACTGTATTAAAAATCCTATGTTCCATAAAAAATTCCAAATGTGTATATACATAAGCAATGAAAAACAATGGAATGGGGTGTAATTCAGTCATGTAACTCAGTCAGATAAGAGGAGAAAGAAACAAGCTAGATGTTCCATAATTTTGGTTCTGAGAAAAACGACGTTTCGGCAAGGTCGCACTTGTCATTGTCAAGTCAGGTAGTAACGCTACTTGCTGTTGCTTGAAGGAAACTGTTTACTTCAGTAAAAATGTGAGTTTGCTTGTATGTTATGGACGAAGTGAGTTTGCAGTTGGATCTCGTAGTAGTGTTTGCAGTGGGATCTCGTACTAATAGTATTTTCGAATAATATTTTATTATACAACTTGACGTTGATATGTTTTTTTTCTTTTTTAGCTGAGTCCGACATTAATAGGATGTTTAGGAAAAGACACACAAGGCGCTAGATTGGTTGTATCTTATGTGTTATCAAAAATCCAGTCAAATCTCTTTCATTTTCAATCAGAACCGATACTGCTCCGGGATACAGTGGATTTATTCTGTGATATTGTCTGCGTGAAACAAAAGTAAGTAATTTTTCTCTTCTCGTATTAACGAAAAATTCATAATGAAAGCATAACTGCAATAAACATAACAGTGAGGTCTATCCTATGTCTAAATCACGCTGAAAGACCCCTGAGTATATTAAGTATCCCTGTGTATTAAAAAATCTAGAAATCTGTTTATAAAGATGTATATTTTAACAGATATTTAATGTGTATTATGTTTACAGGTCATCGCATATAGTAAGAACAGAAAGCATGCGAAACCTGATAAAACTATTTGGTAGCCTAGAACCTGGATCTTTACCACCCAATATCATCCGAGGCCTTTGTAAAGGATTTGTTCTAGCCGGAGTAGCTCTTGATACGAGAAACGATAGCTTACACAATTCCATGAACGAATACTATGACTTGATTTTGACACCTCTACAACAAAGATTCAAAGCCGTGTGGGGACAGGAGAACTTTACTAGAATATACCAAGAGGAAAGAATACAAAAGATTGTTGTAGACTTACTGGAGGCGTTTATAGGAATCGCTAAAGGCTCCTTGATGCCTAGTTCGACGGCGTTATTTCATTTTTTAGCCCCTATATTAAGCGAATTGCCAGCTCTTATTACGGTTTATCATAATTATCAAGTAATTGTTCAGCTCGTTTTAGAGCTGTTTGGACAATGCGCTAAGTACATGTTGTGTTACCTTACCCCTTTAGATAGTAAGAGATTATACGAAAGTTCTTTAGCAACTGTACAGGCGTATGCGAAGTGCAATCAAGGTAGATTCACAACTGAAACATTCGCCGAAGAAAGCAGCTTCCAGGATCTCGCTCTTATTTTAGATCTGCTCACTTTTATTCTCTCCAAAGACTGTGTTGACTTATGCACTGAGACTGATACCGAAGAAATCTCTGTGGTGGCGTCTGACGTCTCACTTTTCGGCTTAAACTTCATTATGCCGCTGATGACTAGAGATTTACTGAACTACCCAAGCCTTTGTGCTCAATACTATAGACTGTTGGTGCTTATTAATGATATTTACCCGGAAAAAATATGCAATTTACCGCCTGAACTTCTGAACACTTTATTAAGATCCATAGAGTTGGGCCTGACTAATTTCGGTTCAGATATAGTCCAGGCTTCGCTGGATTTTATACAGGTCATGGCAACGTACATATGTACAAAAAATTTAGTGCAAAAACCATTCGCCCAAGCCATCAGACCTTTCTTAAAATTAGTAATAGACTTAACTTTATCACATCAAATCAATACAGACACAGTATGTTCGGCTAGTACTTGTATATACGCCCTTATGTGCTGCTTCCAAGACGATTATAAAATGTTGGTGCAGAGTTTGATCCAAATGCAATCAGATCCGACGACGGCAGATAGATTGACAGCCGCTTTTAACAACTTGGTACTGAATGTAGACATGAGCGGTAACCGATTGCCTAAACTGAAATTTAGAGATAACTTTGATAAGTTTTTAGCTAACGTTCATGGATTTTTGTTGGTTAAGTAGCATTAAGCGTTAGGATTAATGTATGTTGTTTTATATAGATAATGTAAAATAAAACTATTTTTTCACGAAAATGTTGAGACGATAGGTTTATTATTTATTTAACATCTTTGAGATAACGTCACTAAAGTATATGATGTACAGCAAAATATTTACTGGATAACTACTAGGTTCGAAGTACAAAATGGTTGTCAGTATGCTCGCCTCTAGTTTGTTGAGTTACGGTATCTTATGTGACAAAAGGACGGTTGTAATGCCTTGTAACATACAGGGCAGTACAGGTTAACCCTTTCGCTGCGTAAAGCGCACAATGGCGTCCTCCCATTTCTTTGTAAAATGCGTATGGCGCACATAAGCAGCCTATGTATATGGTGATTTTCATATACATTTAAAATTGACTCAGTTTCAGGAGATCAAGAAAACTTTGTCCGCATTTTATTAAAGGCCACTTCTATTCATAGGTGGCGTCGCGGCTCAGTGAATTATGTGGTTAGGTTTGCAAAGATATTCATAGGTGGCGTCACAGACCAGTTACTCACATAGTTAGGTTTTCAAAGGTGTTGTCGTTTCAATCTGTTTAGTGTGATTATAAGTTTAATTATTTGTATAATAATGGCCGATTTAAATAAAGCTACACCTTCAGGCGTAAAAAGACTCAGATGATGATTAATATAATTCAGAATCAGATGATGATTATGATGACTGATGTAGATAACTGTAAGTAAATAAATGTAATAATAAACTTGTGGTCTGAAATTAATATTTTTAGTTGAAATTGAAAATGTTTCGGAAGACTCTTCTGAAAGTGATACTGAGGATGATGTACTACAGAACGAGTTAAATAATACCGTTGCAGATAATCCTGACGTACAGATTACAGACAATGAATGGACCGAAACAATTAGCGGTATGAAACAAATTCCATTTACAAAAAGAAGTGGATTGTTAGTCGATATTACTGGTGATAGTGCGTACGATTGGTTTAGGCTGTTGTTTGACGATGAACTTTTAAATATGATTGTCTTACAAACTAACAGTTATGCAGTTGAAGTTCTTTCTACCAGCAAAGGATGTGACCGCTTAAGGATTTCCCTATGGAAGGAATTAACAATATCAGAATTGCTAATATTTATTGGATTAACCTTCCATGCAGGAACAATTCAATTGTCTAGCATACAAGATTACTGGAAGAAAAATAGATTATTTTCGACTTGTTTTTCTTCATACATGAGTAGAGACCGCTATTTGCTTATAATGCGATGCCTTCATTTTGCAGAAAATGTAAAAGAAAATGAACCAGTTCCATTAGATCGACTATATAAGGTTAGACCCATGCTAGATCATTTTAATAACAAAATGAAGACGGTATACTATCCAGAAAAGTATTTATCTCTAGACGAATCTATGATTTTGTGGAAAGGAAAACTGGTATTCAAGCAATAACTCCCGAAGAAAGGACATAAATATGGAGTAAATTTTTATATGCTGACAGAAACTGATTCAACAATTTTGGATATCCATAAATATGCTGGTGCAGATGATGCAACTGCTGGAAAGTGTCATACAAAAAGAGTGGTGCTACACTTAATGCGTAATTTTTTCGACCATGGACATTCGCTTCATATGGACAACTATTACAATAGTTATAACTTGGCCAAATTACTACTGGATAAAAATAGTTTTTGTACAGGCACTTTGAGAAAAGATAGGAAAAGCTGTCCAAAAAACGTCGTAGACGCAAAATTAAAGAAAGGCCAGACCAAAAGTATGTACCTCAACAACGTAATGATTGGAAAATGGCGAGACAAGAGAGATATCATTTACATTTCAACTGAATATAAAAATGAGATGGTAACCGTAAGAAATAGACGAGGGGATGAGAAAATTGAACCACTGCCAATCATTAAATATAATAAATATATGGGCGGAGTAGATCTTCAAGACCAAATGTCTTCTAATTATCCGCCGATACGCAAAACTTTACGTTGGTACAAAAAGATTGGCATACATCTGTTTCAGCTATATTTGCAAAATGCTGATAGATTGTATAATAAGTACCATTGAAATAACAAAATATCATATTATAAGTTTCGATTGCCAATACTTGAAAAGTTGTTACCAGAAAAATGTCAAGGAACAGCAGTTGTAACGGCAGAAGTAGCAGTTACTTCGGGTGTAAACCACACACCTTCAAAAATTGAGTTACAGAATGAACGTGGTAAAACTCTGAGAAAAAAATGTCGGACATGCAATAAAAATAAGATAAGTAAAGGATACTATTTATTATTGTCAAGAATGTCCCGATAAACCTGACCTCTGCTTAGGCAAATGTTTCAGAGAATATCATGTATCAATATAGAAAGACATTACGAAAAAATTAATATTTTGTATACTTTTATTTTACATTATATGTTATTTGTTTATTTTACATCCTGTTTTTATGAATAAAATTTTAGTTTAGATCAAAAAAGTCGATTTAATTTACTAAATACAAAAATTTGTATCAAGCGCACAAGTGCGTCTTGCAAAAATTCAGAAGAAAAATTATAATAATCGGTTTTAATATATGTACAAAAAACAATTGTTGAACATCGCATTTAGTGTTAAAAAACTACTGCCGCACTGGTCAGCGATATGTATTTATTTGACGCAGCGAAAGGGTTGATGATGTTTGAAAAATAATACAAGATAGCATATCTGTCATGTCACTATAAATGAACTGAAGAAAAAAAAGATTCGATAATGCCCTGAAGGTTCTCGTTTGAGATATTTGTAGATCCTGTATCTACAAAAAATATTTATATATTTCTTTTCAGTTTCTGTATCTACAGTGCTACACACGACCAAACTAATATGGAATCACCCAGTATTTCTTACTAATAATAAGCAATGTATTACAACTTTTTATGCAGATAAGAGATAAATGTTTTTGTTGGAAATACGATTCATAATTGATAAAATTTGATCAAGTACACATTGAAAAATTTTATTATTTGTGTCAAGTTGTAAAACCGAGACGTCAGAGTAAAGTTAAGTTTGTGTTCAAAAAAGGTAATATGCCCTACGTAGGTTTGTCAGATGTTCAGAGGGGAAGAATTGTTGCTCTTGTTGAGCAGTGAATGTCACAAAGGCAAATTTCAGCTGCGCTACACGTCTCACAGAGCGTTGATTCAAAAACATATGCAAGATTTTTAGAATTTGGTACACTCAAGAACAGGCCTAGAGAAAGTCGTCGTAGAGTAACTAGTAATCGACAAGACCGTCGAATTTTTAGGTCAAATAGCTAGAAGAAATCCAACCTCTTCTCATCCGGAGCTCCAAAGGCAACTTTTGCAGACTACATTTCAGTTGAAACAGTATGAAAGCAACTTCGTTCCAAAAATTTATTTAGCAGGAAACAGTTGAGGGTTCCCGAGCTATCCAGACAGAACAAAATTGATCGACTGAATTGGTGTCTGGAACACCAGAACTGGACAAATGAAGATTGGCAAAATGTTCTTTTTTCAGATGAAACCAGAGTTGGCCTGAGATCAGATGACCGTCGAATTTGGTTTTAAACAGGTCGAGGCAGACAAGCTAGACTGCAAACTGCCAAATCCGTTTCAAAATATAAAGGAGGAACTGTAATGTTTTGGGGAGGGATTATGATGGGAGAAAAACAGCTTTGCGTCCCTTACGGCAAAGTTTAACGGGTCGCCGGTATGTCGATTTGGTACTAGAACCCATAGTTAGGCTGTGGCGAGGTGAAGTGGGAAATATATTCATTTTCATGCACAATAATTCCCCTCCACATACCAGCAGAGTTGCCACAGACTTTCTGGAAACTGAAGATGTCACCTGATATTAATCCCATTGAGCATGTGTGAAACCTCATTAAAAGAAGGATTATAGCTCGAAGGGATAATCCAGGTAATGCGGATCAGCTCATTCAAGCCAATCTAAAACAAACTAAAGAACAAGTTGACGATTTGATTCCCCGTCGGATTGAAGTTTGTATAAGAGCTAGAGGTGGCAACACTGACTATTAAAATGAACAACAAGACTGTATATTTCTTTAGTCAACCATTGCAATATTTTCATTTGTTCGTGTTTTTTGCGTTTTTGTTAATTTCAAGCATTTGTAACATTTTTTGATTTTTTTTATAGTAATTAAACTGGTTTAGTATAAAATGTAGTTCATTTTCCATTAAAAAAAATTAGTAATACTTTACAAAATCGGAAATACTGGGTGATTCCATAAAGTTTGGTTGTGTGTATTTTAATTCATTTTAAATACAGGTACTTATTTCTAATTTTATTAAATGATACCATCCACTGTCTTCTTCTCTTTTTTTTAATTTAATTAAATAAGCAGAGATCATCACAGCAAAAGCGAAGTTGCTGAGGCAACAACGAGATTTTCCAGACGATCTCTATCCATATTAGCTGTCACACCACTGATTCCAGTTGTCAACTTTTAAGAATACTTGCCATGTCTATTCATGCTCGTGTACTTGTGAGCGCCCTGCTTGCCATCGCCAAGCATGTATACTTGCAAAGTAAGCTAATAATTGTGTACTTGCCAAGTACAGGAGTCATTTGAGTCCGCCTTATATTTGTTATGCATTTAAGTGAGAGCGCCCACCAAAGTGGCGTGGCACGTAACACGCGTCTAGCATGTTACTTAAAATGTAACCAATGAAAACGAATGATTTAGCGCACACCAAAATGACAGTGACGTCATTCGATCTAATAATTCGTTTGCATTGGTTATATTTTATGTAACATGCTAGACGCGTGCTACTTGCTACATGACACGCCACTTTGGTGGCGCTCTTCCTAACAGGCAATCAATTTATTTTGGCTGTAATTTATTTACCTATACTACAATGACGTCTCAAATTATCATTGTTTCATCCTCAGTATATTGTAATTTAGGCCATAAATTTTCTGCGTTTTTTTGTAGATATAATATCATTTTTATAGTTTTTATATATTGATAAAAGTGTTGTATAAAATTCAAAATAAAAGTATTATTACACAAAAACTGTATTTTTATTTTCCAAGGTTCCACTTGTAGTATTTTGATAATGGTTATGAATTTTAATGCTTATAACTTAAATAATTTTGCGAAGTATGATTGAAAGTAAACACGATGCTCTATGAATAAACATGTTTTTTTATCTACATATCATGGATTTACCTTAAACCCTTTTCAACTGAATAGATCACTAAAGTAAGTTATGAAAGAGCTCTTTCTGCTGCGAGTTACTGTTTGTTCCATGGAATAAACAATGCAGTTGTGACTCAACAAGTACCGAAGAATTTGCCAGAATTATTTGGGCCGCTCATTAATGAAGCTAAAAAACTATCTTATTAATGAAGCTACCATTACCAACTACTTATTTATGTAAAACAGGATTGTTGTGTTTTGCAAGTACATAAAGAGACTAGATCGCAGTTTCCAGAAACTTATTTCTGCATATAAATCTTTAAGGTTGTCACTAACCTTTTCCCAAAGAGAAACATAAAGTTAGACCTTGTAAGTCGCGATCAAGGTTATTTTAGGGATGTGTCGCAAGCTTAACAATAAATAACCAAAATTAAAGAATTCAAAATACCTCATTTATTTTCGTCGCTTTTTACAGCATTCTAAAATTTAGTACAATGTGTCATACATCTTAAGATGATTAACCAACTATTTTATTAAATAATAAAAACAAAAAGGTTTATCTAGTTCAAGATTAAAAATTATTACATTATTAAAGATAAAAAATCTTATCAAGGTCATACGTTCAGGCTAGGATACTGATTATTTATAAATAACATCCAACAAATTTTCCAGCCAGGTTGTTGAAATTAAATTAGTTACAAAATTAGTATAAACTAAAAAAATTATTTACAGAAACCAAAGACTAATATTAAACTAATCGAAATGTAGACAATTTTAATTGAAATTAAAGAAAGGCGGAAGTAAATGTTAAATGGTTTATTTAGGAAAATAAATTCTCTATTTGACATTTCGACTTCCAAATCCAAAGCTATTCAGCTTTAAATAAGGTCAAGAAAATATCAAAGAGATTTCTGTTTATTTCAAACAGAATATTAGAAAAATCATCCAACATCCAGAGAATTAATTATTTTACAAAATAGGATGAATAAACACTGTTATAATATTTTTTGCATTTTCTACTTAAAATGATTATGAGCTAAACAAATTGTATATTAAGATTGAAACAGTAAACAGGTTAAATAAAATATATACCTAATCTTAACATAGACTTTTATCAAATAAGAAATTAGAAGTTACAGTTCAATACAACCAATAGACAGTAGTGTTTCTTTGATGCATTAAGTGAAGTAACAGAAAAACATCTGCTGAATTTTTTGCAGTTTATAGATTTATCAACCTTCAATAATAATATGATGTATTAACTTTAAATCCTGCAAAGAAAATACTATCCATACTAATAAGGAACTTCCTGAACTGATCCATTCACTTCACAACTTCCATTTTGCTTGATCTTCCACTTTTATTTAATTTGTTTTACAGTGGTTATGATTTTTTTATTGTTTCTTGAGTTCGACATCTGTATATGTCTCAATATCTATTTTGATCATTATGACCTATAAATTGGACTGCTGTTCTGATTCTTATGACCTTATAAGTAACAATACTGTATTGACAGACAAAACCATGTGAAAATTATATTTTTATGGACATACCCAGTAAAATACAAACAATTTGGGCAGAAACTGTCACTGATATCACATATTACATGTATGTATTACTTGTATGTACAAAATATTGTCATTCATAACATATACTTCCAAGTTACGTAATTAATAGCAAAATAATATTTTAGTTGACATCAGTTCTTCTTAACTATAAAATATTAAGAATCAAAACTACTACTGTCTATTTGGTATGCTGTGATAAAAGATGATTTAGAGACAAAAAAAAAAGAAACTTTCGGAATTATTTTGGTAAGTGTAAAATTTTACAAAACTGCCTGTGGTTTATTAGTAAATAGAAACTGTACAAAAAGGACACAGTCCTTTGACAAGGCAATTGGCCAGTGAGATAGAGTAGATGATACCTTTGGTTTCTGTGTAACCAAACCATTTGGTAATCGAAATGTGAAATGAAAAAGCATTTATAAAAATCTGAAATTCATTTATTTTTGTAGTGATCCTTCTAAGCAGCTGCTTCAACTTCCATTGGTTGTGGATCCGAGGAACTTTCAGACTTCTTCTTTTTCTTTTTGGCAGCCTTAGGGTTGGCGGAACTGTTGAGGATTGATTTAAGTTCTGGGTCGACTACTGAATGTTCTGATTTGTACAATTCAGGGTCCAAGGGCAGTCCTGTGATTTTATGGGGCCCATTTGGCATTAACAGAACTGTGAATTTGAAGTGTGCCACAATTTCTCCTACAATTAGATAAACATCAAAAATTTCATTTCAGATGCTAAATGTTATATCATTATCTATATTTTGAAAAAATTCTCACCTGGTTTTTCATATAAGACTTGGAAAGGTTCTATCAACTTATTCTTTACACATTCAACAACTCCCATTTTTGCCTTTGTCTCATCTTGGAAATTCCTTAAATTGAAAGGCATATTTCCATACTTTGTCCTCACTTCAGTATAGAACATTCTTGATGCTTTAAGTTTCAATTGATAAATTTCATCTGTTTTCTTATAGACAGAAACTCTGGTGTCAGCTTCTTTTCCTACTCCTTCACCTATAAAAATATTTAAAATATGAAAACATGCTAAAATGTATACAAAATATTTTTTATTTTATTTCATTGACAATAAAAGTAAACTTTTTTAAAAATGCCATTCAAACAACATTTAGCATCTTATACTGCTCCAAATGGCTTCACTATAGGAAGTTAATGTTTTAGAAAACTACATATTCATATATGTATGCACAGTATTATTGTTGTTTGATATAACAAGATCAGATTATGTAATTAGTCTGCCATTTCAGTTCTAGTTATAAGAGGAAGTCTAGTGTACCATACAACAATATTACCAATGAGTTCTTATTTATAGTAGATTTATCTGTCCAATATGATTTATTTCTTGAAAACTTCAATATTACATTAATAAAAGATAAAAAGTATGTAAAAATTGCTTATTTCCAGTGAATTTGCCAGCAATTACTGCTAAACTTACCTGTACTGATTAAAACATCCATAGCATATACTTCATGTTTGTCTAATTCAAATTTCTCATGTTCTTTTTTCTGGGCATCATTGGGGTTTTGAATTATAGTCTTCTCACCATCAATTTTAAATTGTTTCAATTGATGACTAAGCATACCTTTAAAATTAAAACAATTTAGAAAGGTTCAAAAGCTTTTGAGTTATATTTTAACTACACAAGAAGTCAGATTATGTTTGTCTGTCATTGATCATTCAGAAGGATCAATTGGAAATTTTAATTTTTGATCATCATTTAAAAAAATATATTTTTTATAAGGGCTATGAATAAACTACAGATGTATTTGATGGAGTAGTTTTAGCTATCAATCTGATCTATTGCACAATCATGATTAACTATAGTTCATTCGTTTAGCAAATTCCCATCTGTCAACAAATGCATGTGTTGATATTTGGCCTTTCATTCGCCAAGAGGCTTTAAGCCTAATCAAGCCAGACAGATTCTCATGTTATAGATCCAAACTTGCTGGTCTGTTTAAATTCAAATTGTATCGTGTTGTTTTTTAAGTTAATATATTGTGTGTTATATTTATGTTATAGTTATTGTTAAGTTATTTACTGGCCGTGGTATCTTTTAGAGTTTAGTTTAATTGTGATTTAATGATTAAATTTCAAGAAATTCTTACTTTTATAGTTTCAAAATTAAATATCTTTAAAAATTATATGATACACATCAGTACGACCCTGTTTGGCTTTCACATGCATCTGTTGATAATTGAGAATAGCTCTCTCTTATATATATTTTAATAACAAATACTGCTTTTATCAAGATTTTAGATATTTTAATGTTTGTTTAACACATTAAGCGCCACCATGTTAAAAAAACACAGTTCTGGGGGCCACTGTGTAAAATTCCTAAATCTGTATCAAAAATGCCCTATTTAACTGTGTTTTTTATAATTCATATGTTTTAATGTTATTTTCTCATAAAAACATTGTTGTATCGAAATGGATACAAGTGGCCCATTTTCATAAATTGACGCTGTTGGCCACTTGTATGATTTGGATTCAGTATTATAAACACTTTTGTTCCTGTCGGATTTTGTTGGTCACGAGCAACAAAACACAGAAATGCAATGGCTCATGTGATGAGGAAATACAAAAACCGATAATAATTTTGGAGTACAATAAATGTAAAGCCTTTATAGATCTTTCTGATCAGTTGAAGGTATATTCTACTAGTTTACGAAAGGGGATCAAATTGTATCGAAAATTAGCAGTAAAAGTACTAACAGGAACTACGCTAATAAATGTGTATTGTGTACATCAGATGGTAATGAAGAAAAATGTCCATCATAAAATTCAAAAAACAAGTTGTCACTCAGCTTTTTGACGAAAATTTTACAAGACCTCCTCCGCCTTATAAAATCAACAAACCTAATATTTTTGTGGTTAATAATAAGAAAGGCTTGCTGCGAAAGGCTAACAAACAGCCATGATTGGAAATATGCCTAAGCCAAATCTTCACAAACTGGCCACAAATGTAGTGCTTCTAAAAAATATTATTGTCTCAAATGTTTTTTTATTTCTTATAAATCCGAATTATTAATGTGATAACATTCATTAAGAGTTTTTATTAATAGCTACTAAAAATAAATGTGTTAGCTTTTGAATTAAATTAATTATATTTTATTTTAACAAATGTGTTTAATTATCAACTTGTAAAAAAATCGTTGGCCAAAAACAAATTTTGGGCCAACCAGGCATGCTTTATAAGTCCCCCATTCAATTAAATACAAACACTGCATTGGTTTGAATTCAGCTAGCCTAAAGTGAAAGTATTCCTTTGTATCCGTTTGGATACAGGTGGTCAAAAATGATCAATGTCATTTGTATCTAATAGGATACAAATGGCGCTTAAGGTGTTAACTGCTTAATATTAACCTACCAATGCCTAAATACCTATAACCACTTATGTGGCATCCTATAATTGCATTGTAATGAAAGTATAGCTTACAACATTAACAAATAACTAAATTTACAAAGAAAACATAATATACCTTCAACTGGTTTGCACTTATATGATTCAGCAACTTTTTGTACTGCTTCTGTGATGGCATATGTTTCATTTCCAGGCTTTAGAAGCCTAAGAGCAGCCTGTGAAGCATAATGTGCTGCAAGGATGGCATCTGCTTTTCTTCCAGTGACCTTTTTGTTGCTAGATGAACCTACAATTATTGTGTGAGCCACTACTGCTATGAAACCATCTATGTGAGCTCCCAAGTCACTAAAAATGAATATTTGTGTCATTCTACTATTAAAACATATTTGACGATTTTTATATCTAATTTTTACTCAGTTAAATAAAATTACATCAATATTTCTCAGTAGGATCAATTGGATTTTAGATTCATCATGAAAACTCTATTTAAAAAAGAGAAATTATCTTAATTCACTACAAATGTTTTGTCTCATTAACTACATTAAACTGATACCTCTCATTAACTGTACAAAGCAGTGAATATGTAAACGATATAATTTTGATGGTGAAATACATTGTAATTGATAACTTACACTTTTGCCACATCCTCTTCCTTTAGAACTAAATCAGATTCACTTGGAACAGGAGAAAAATGGCATATACAGTTGTTTACAGAAACACAAGTAGGAAAAGCAATGCCCTTCTTCAATTCCTTTTCTTTTTTAAAAACTTTATTAGTTTCATCAAGCAGTAGCTGGTCTCCGTATTCACAAATTTCCCTTATGGATGCACCGGGTATACATTTGTCTATTACTTGTTTTAGTACTCCTGAAATTAAATATTATAAGAGCTAATGTTGAACAAAGGATTATATAAAATTTATTGTGAAAATAAGAGGGCAGGTTAAGCACATTGTCCACTGAACTTTTACACTAAATAACTTATTTGTGACTCTATACTATCCATACAACTTCTTGATGTTTATTTAAGAAAATGGAACCATGTGGTTTTCAGTACCGGGAACCAAGCTCCATATGGCTTCACATTATAAATGTGTATTAAATAAATTAAAAATTAACACAACCAACAAAATAATTTGTTATATGATATATCTTCAGTCTAAACTCACTGTTAACGATTTCTCCTGCCATTTTATACTTGGTAACCACCAAGTCTTCGGCAATCGTTTTTTCGACCACATCTTTTTCGTCCGCCATAATTTACCTGTATACGACTAGTCAATAGTACCAACACAAGACGCGCAAAAATGAATTAAATTATTGACAGACGTCGTGTGTCAGAGTAACTTCTTTTTAATTTTCCACTTTTTGGCTTGCGTAGGAATGAGTTTGACAATAGACTTGATTTAATTACTATTTATAACTGGGAATAAGCCACATTAAAGATAAAAATACATTTATTGACGTTTCAATTTCCAATTCGGAAATCGTTCTCAAAATACAAATAGTAAATTAAACAAATTTTGTTTTTTGTTACATTTAATTTAATTTGTTTAATTTACTATTTGTATTTTGAGAACGATTTCCGAATTGGAAATTGAAACGTCAATAAATGTATTTTTATCTTTAATGTGGCTTATTCCCAGTTATAAATAGTAATTAATTTACAATGCCACAAGAAAATAGCTTCAGAACAATATTAAGATTTGATTTAAACATAAATATTTATAATTTGTAATAATTCATCCATTTAATTTGCTGTTTAAATAACATATTTAGATATTCTAAATGTTTTTAATAAATTAAAATATTTCTTATATTGTGATTGACGAAAACTTAAGTCTTGACCGATAAATTAAGAACTTAGAATATTGGAGTATTTATAAAAAAAGTTAACTCTTATGAATCAGAATTTAAACATGAAATCAAATTAAATCGTCAATCATATTATAATCAATAAGTGAAAAAGCCAATGACGTATAATATATTCTACGTCATTGGAAAAGCTTATTAATTTGTCAAGTGTCAGTTCAGTGTCAATCTGTCAACTATTTATCTGTCATTAAATGCCTTTCCTTCACACAGATGATTAACCAAAACAAATAGCCATGGAGGAATTAAATGATAAATTTTACTTTGTCTATAGTTCTTCAATTTCGGACAAAATCCAAATTAAAATGTATGATTTTACAAAATGGCTAATGTTTTAAATAAATTGTTTTGTATTACCAATAATTTGTTTATTCTTTTAGTGGTACTTTGGAAGGAAAAAGACACAAACCTGAATATACTAAAATTTTGGAGGATCCTATGTTAAAGTACTCTGGCTTGTATCAAGATGGTTGTGCCGATTTAGTAGTATCATGTCAAATCTTTGATAACAACCAACCCCTGGCCCTACCTGTTACTACTTCTTACAAAGCTTTCACACAAAGATGGAAGTAAGTAAAAGCATCTTTATAAACATGAGTAACTTTTGTTTCTCTTATTTGAGTATAATAATGTTTTTTTACAGTTGGAATGAATGGTTAACTTTACCAGTTCAGTATAATGATTTGCCAAGAAATGCTCAGCTGGCTCTAACTGTTTATGACTGTTTTGGGCCCAATAGACTTTGTCCTGTTGGAGGAACTACAATCTCTCTTTTTAGTAAACATAGCGTGTTTAGACAGGTAAGCAACTTTATTTCTTTTTTATAAGACATTCACAATGTTTTTGATATGAATGTGAATAACGCTGAACACATTGTCTGATACAGTTTGTTTATTGTTTAATTCGAATAATTAAAAAGTAGTAAGTGTGATATTTATTTATATTGGTATTTCACACCAAAATTTTAATCTGGTTTTATTTTTTTGGAATATTTTAAGTTTTAAGAAAAATTATGCTCATTGTCTAAATTGTGACTTTTTGTTGCAGGGTATGTTGGATTTAAGAGTGTGGCCAAACAGGGAAGCTGATGGAAATTTTCCTACATCTACCCCTGGAAAAACCAAAAATGGTAAAGAACAGATGCAGAGATTGGCTAAGCTAGCCAAGAAACATAGAAATGGTTACATAACTAAGGTTAGCACTAGATTTCTCCAGGTTTCATTACTTTTAATCCATAAGTATTAACACTTAAGATTTAGATCAACATCTGTAATTAAATAATTACAGTTCTAATATGGTTTTAAGTAAATAAAGAAGGGGAATATTAAATTTTCTCTTTATTATTCTTAGATTACAATAGAAATGCTACCATAAGCCAACAGGATTGTAAGTTCACTCTACTTACAGCTTGTCAAATAGTAGTAAATTGAAGACAAACCATTAAATCTTCCAGAAACAATTTTTCCCAATTTATGTGAGGTAGTTTCAAAATTTGTAGTCACTAACTTCTCAAAAATGTATCTATAGAAACATTTTTCTGTCAAATAACCAACATATTCAAATGATATGGTTGTGTATTTATAGTATTGCATAACTGATGATGATCTGTAATATTGAGTGATAATTGAACTGAAAACTTTCTTTGTTACTTATATTAACTTATATAACCACTTTTACTTTTTTTATTCAGGTCGACTGGTTAGACAGACTCACTTTCCGAGAATTAGAAGTAGTAAATGAAAAAGAGAAGAGGTCCTCTGAATACTTGTACTTAATGATAGAATTCCCTACCATTAACGTTGATGGTATGCCACATCATATTGTTTACTTCGAGCAAAATGGAGATGAAATCCTCTCAGTGAGATTACAAGCTGATTTAGTTACAGTACCAGATCAAGAAATACTAAAGGTAAGTTTAAATACATATTAGATGTTTTATTCTAAAAATATATCTATCAACTTTATGTTTATAATTAACAGGACATATTTTATTCTGCAATTAAAATCTGGTATAATTTTCTGCAACATAAATTTAGACTAAAAGTTTGTGGTGAAGATCTCAGTTCCTATTTTAAGGTAAGGTTCAAGTAAAGACATCAAGACAAAACGAATTTTAAGTTTAGTATTGTTATGTTACATTGTTCTGTGATGCTAATATCTTTTTAAAATCTGGTTCTGTTAAACTATATCCTTCAACCTGTATAAAACCAGAGTATGCCTAATTTGAACATCTCAGTAGTGCTGTGGGGAAAGCAGATTCCTTTCCAAACGCTTCGTCACAGGTTTAAATCTTACAGGGATTAGATTTTTCTAGAAAATAAAAAGAATGAACAGAAAATGTCAGCAGAAATGACTGCTCTCATAGAATTGTACCATTACAATCTAGCAGATTGTATAGAAAGAACCTTAAAAATTGTGTTGAAGGGAAATATGCAGATATAGAAGCAGAAAAGTCCAGGTCAGATCACCTTTTCTATGTATTCCAACTGATTGAAATAAAGACGTCATTTAAAAACATAGTTGACTTGCTCTGCAGGTACTTAAAAATGTATTTATTGTTACCAAATTCACCAAAATAAAAGTTAAAGATGGAATAACTCAAAGTTTCATGGTAACTAAAGGATTATAGAATATACAGGATTATATTCAAGATATACCTTGTAACAGTTAAAAAAATGGATAATATATTATTCCCATATTTCAAAATCTTTTAACTTGATTTAATTCAGAATGCATTTACTTTTGTTCGACCCTATATATCTTAACAATATATACTGTTCTTAATATGCACTTAAAACATATTGCGTTTTAAAATTTAAAACTGGAAAAACAAACTTTGAGTGTGGGGAAATTAATAAACAAAATTTAAAAATGTTTATTGTACTCATCACAAATAGTGTATATCAGAATTTTCCATTCAGATCGGCGGAGAATCTGAGTAATTAGTGGTTGATCAAAGATTGGATTTTAAGTGGGTCACTTTTAGCCTGTGGTAGAATTTTGGGACTAAGATTGTGTTGTTGTGTGGGAATGAGAATTCATTAACCAGATTTAATTAACCAGAAGTAAGAGGTTGAGGCGTATCGCTACTATCGACTAGAATCTGATAAAATAATTATTGTTTAATATTATTTGAGCATTTTATGGAGAACAAAAGTATCTTTGTTGTGGGATACTATGATTTTGATTGTAGTCAACAAGTACAAAGTAAATATGAGTACAAAAGGGGTTTAACTAAGCCCACTGTTTACCTAGCTTTTATTTTGATTCCTACAATAAAAGAGTAAATAACTATGCTGAATATTTCAGAGATGATGATATTTACAGTGGTAAAACACAAATAATTTTAATCTGATAGAAGAAGGACTAAAAACTAACAAAACATGGATACCAATATTAAAATCCACAAACACCCTCGCCGCAAAACACGAAGAAAGAAAAAAATAGCAAAATCCTGTTTGTGCCTTGTGCAAACCATTCTTTCAATGTGTGTGGAGTTCATGCATTTGCAATCAACCTTAGCTGTGCAACGTTTTTTGCAGCGTTAGAAAGTGTATATAACTTCTTCTCGTCCTGTCCTCTCCACATAAATGGGGGATTTTAATGAAAGCTATAGGTATATCTGTAAAACAGGTATCTGATACTAGATGGAGTGCCAATCACGAAGCTGTGAAACCTATTTTGAAATATTTTGATAAATTAGTTCAAGTTACAGAAAAATTGTGTGACGCCAAGTGAAATATTATAACACGCGGCTTCAAATTTCTTGGATTCCTGCATTTATGGGGTTACATTTTGCAAGAAAAAAACAGTCAGTATGAGTTGATCACAAAGGGTCTCCAGTTTGCTTCGGAAAAATGTGATGAAATGGGAATCTCCCTTGAAAAATAAAGTAGGAGATGTTTAAAAAAGATAATGGAGAAACAGTTGAATATGCCGGAGTATATCTCGAAGATGAAACTAAAAGATGTATATAGTTTACCTTCAACAAATTTTTCAGAATTTTAAAAGATGTATAGTTGAATGTTCAGACAAGCTACACCAAGAGCTTCAAAATAGAATGTAAAGCATGGAGACTATTCAAAAAATTCAACATCGTTCAGGTTGAGTATTTACTCAACGATTATGACACAGAATTTGATAAACGAGAAATTGTTAATGAAATCAAAAAGCTTCATCACCATATAAAAGCTGCAAGAATAAGTGAAGAGGCCAGAAATTGGACTACATTGAAGATGGCACAGTTTATTAGTTACGCCACTTAGTATATCCTTTTGTTTATGATTACCATCACAAAATAAATTTCGTTGTAATATTTTTAAATGTGTAAGTGACTAATGTATCTGTTATTTTGATAAGTTTATTAATAATGTTTAGTTTATCGGAAAATGATGACATTCAATCAGAATTACAAACATTTTGTTGACATTATTTCTATTGTCATTTTTATTGTTTATTTAATTCGTGATTACTTTACAGGTTGAGGTAAATTTTACAACTTAATTGTTCAGTAGTGTTTGTTTTGTTTTAAACATTAATGTTATGAGTTACAGCGAATTTAGACAAGACCATATAAACTTTCTCCAATCGTAACTTTTACTATACGCGGATTGTTTTCGTACGTGACCGAACATAGATTTGTTTTAAATTATTAAGATGTTTTAAACTATTTAAGATTGGTCTATTACAGCACTTGCTTCCTTCAATTATTACCATTTTGGCACGGTCCTTTTCCCATTGTTTAGCTTTTAGCCATTTGTTTAGTTTCATTGATAGCGATGATTCTGGCACCTAAAATTTACTTTTCAAAATCATTTTAACCATAAACAATTACCATTTAGACCAGGGCCGATAATTTTAGAGACTAAAATAATAGTAACAGAATGGAACCTATTGTAAAAAAAAAATGAAAATATAACAAAAGTAAAAGGAAAAATAATTTACGGCAGATGTGAGCAGGAAGGGGAAGGGTAAGTTTTTCAGGTAAAAGGTAAAAGTCCTATAGAAAAAAGTTAAATAGCAAAGTTGTAGGTAATAAAAAGATCTCCAACTTTTATATTTACACTTTTTTCATACAACTTGATGAATGTTTATGATGAATGACAAAATGCAAAAATGCATAATGTGAAATTAGCGTTAAAAAACAGCTTCTCAACATGTACCTCCGAAAAAGCTCAGAATGCCCAAAAAATAATTAAGGACCCAACAGACGACGAAAAATCGATTGCAAAAACCATTCTACCATGTGCAAAGGGCACAACAGAGAAAATGTGGAGAGTTTTAAGAAAACACAAAATAGAAACGATATTTATACCGACAGAAAAATCTTTACTATTTTACCATCCACAAAACCAAAAATATCGTTAGAAATGCAAGAAGTATACGAGAATCCATAAAGAGGACTGTGACAAATCGCACATCGGACAGACTAATCGAAGAATCCATGTCAGACGAGGAGAACATCGAAATGTCTTAGAAAGGAGAGAAAAAACGTCGTCCCTTGCACACCATGTCTCAAATACAGGATACAAATCAAACGACGATACTAGCTAACATTGAGATGAAAAGAAGACGTGCGATCAGAGAATCAATACAAAAGGAAATCAATAGAAATAGAAATCAATAGAAAAAGAACAGTGTAAACCGAAAATATGATGCTCAAAGACCTCCAACAACATCGAAAACGGTATTGAAGACAGACAAAAATAATCAAGACCGATAAGACAAGCAACAATCAATCAGGCAAGAAATCGACTATCGAGGAGTACTACCCCTCCTACTTATACTCGCACAAGGCTAATCACAAGAAGTGTTGCCAAGAACCGTTTGAGAGAAGCATGCCAAGATCGATTATATAAGTAACTGCTTCAACCAGAAGAGCCAATTTACTTCAAGCACTAGCAAGAAGCCTGACTTGACAATGGCAAGTGTGTTTTTGCCGAAACTTCGTCAAAACGATGGTTTTTATCAAAAACTATAATTATTCAACGCGGAGTCAAACCCCGAAAACTACAGAAATAACATTATGGCTCCAGCGGAAATTTCAAGTGTAACATTTCTTTTGCTTATTTCTGCACTCCTTCCATTTTTGCCGTCCTCTTACATTGTAACGATAAGACTATCAAAGAGAATTAAAATACTATTATAAATATATAATCAACCATGGGAGCTTATCGCCTAGCTCAGTCTCTCAAGTGTGAATCCGTCTTGTCTTAAACTATGAATTAAACAATGAACCCTTAGCTAGTAGCAAATAAAACAATGATTTAACTAATCGTATTTATTTAACACATAAAAAATAATATTTAAATAGCAAAAATAACCCTGCCTAATGCTTTACATTAAATAAATTTAAATGATACCTGTAGCATCGATGGGCTGCTTGCTTCTAAATATATGTGGCCTGCCAATTAGGTGGTTAGGTCCTTCAAAACAAGTAGTAGGTCTTACTGACAGCTGCAGTTATTCCATATTATTCCCATATACATATAGAATATAGAAATATTCCATAAAATATTCAGTAAAATAAATTCTCCAATAAATCCTAATAAAATGTTCTAGAAATATCCCATAAACTAGAATATTAAAATAAATAGCCTGTATTAGAGAAACATCAAAGGGGGTTAACTACTTTGCCAATTATTTTCCCAAAATTACAATTAAAATGGCAAGGATAAAATGAAATAGAATTATGTACTATTAAAATTAGCTAAATTCTGTTAGATTCCTACATGCATAAAATTGAAAATGTGGCTTTAAAAGAAGTGGGGTTCCGAATATTGAAAATGCTGTCAGAATTATAGAATATATATATTATAATGAAAGTACTCACCCAAGAGAATTCTGCAGACCATAAAATGCTTATAATAATTCCTACCTTCTTTTATAAATTTCAATTACTGACAAAAA